TTGAATCTTATCAATTGACCCTTGGGCAATGCTCATAAGGGGAGAATAATATTACTAATCTCGATAGAACTTGGTGTAATATGAAATAAATGATGATAAACAGTTGCTGGCTAGTGAATCGTTATTCGTTTATTGATTTAAGTGGCACTATCATACAAATTTGTTTGCTACTTAAAAGTATTCAAATATCTTGGATGGTTTTATTGACTTATTGATACATTTGCATTATCAATACTATAATCCATACGATCATGTAATCTATGCATAAAATTGTAAAAAGGATTTTGCAAATATACTTACATCTATAAATGAAATAAAGAACATTTTTTATTAAAATATAATAATAAATATTTTGTAAGTTGGCAAATATTCACATTCTATGTATATATGTTAAAAAGAGCTTTCAAAAATTTATTTTATTAGCTTTTATAAAGCAAAGTATTCTATATATTAATGAGTATGATTTTAAATAGAATTTTTTATCAATTGCATCTCAATTCAATAAAAACCTTTAAAAATTAATTTAAATTTTGTTTTATTGAAATAATATTGAACATTTATTTGGATATTAATTTTTAGTAAAATATATATCATTGTATATAACTCAATGCAAGTTGTTATCATGAACAAATTATTTAGACAAAAATATACGACACAATGTATTTTTTCCACGCGAAATTGTTAAAAACGTGTTAAAATATTCCAGGCACGCTTTATCATCAGATCCTACAGTAATGCTGCTCCGACGGTTAAAATGTATATTGATGGGCAATTCGTAGGTAATTGTTGACACATTTTATTCAATATCAAATCATATTTTTTTTGCTAAATTATTTTCTTAGTTTATGTCATAAACGCGATCTAGCCTTTCCAAGATTTAAAAAATTTGTTTTATGTATAAAATTGACTTTTAATGATTTTGATCATACAATTTAAATTACATCGATCTGCAAATCAAATTTTCTTTCTTTTTGCAGAATCGAAGAGCACAGAGTTCACGGATGTCCACGACCCAGCGACGAACCAGTTACTATGTCGCACTCCAAAATGCACGAAGGATGAAATGGAAAATGCGGTGCAGAGTGCACGGAAAGCATATGAAAAGTGGCGACACACAAGCGTGCTAACGAGACAAAATTTGATGCTAAAATATCAGGCTCTCATTCGTGAACACTCGGTTAGTTTATTAATGCACTTTATTAAAATCTAAATATTATATCGTTATATTATATTGAAATTATATTCTACATATTGATAAGTATATTGAAATTATATTCTACATATTGATTAAATAATATCATGTAGACAAAATAGAAAATGGAAATACATTTTTAATTTGGATCTATTAATGAATTTTGCATCGGCGAAGTAAAAAATGTTCTATTACTATGACGGTAGTAACGAACAAAATACAGACGTAGACTACTAATCTTTCACTACCACCTATCTATATTTAATAAATATTTTACAAACTCTCAAATATTTTATACCAACTTTATATTTTATTCATTTGCTCACAGAAAGAAATTGCGCAGAATCTTGTGAAGGAAAATGGAAAGACTATGGCTGACGCAGAAGGAGATGTGCTTCGAGGTCTTCGTAAGTATTATGTTAGAAAATATTTATATAAAATATATAGACAACAATATTTAATTAGATAATTTAATATCTAGCATGTTGTCTTTAATATCTAGCATGTTGACTTTCGATCGATTAATCAAATTGATGAAAGATAAAAAAGTATACTGAATAAGTATTATAAAAGATATGTAGAAGCAAAAAATATTTTAAAAATTTGCCATTTTTTACGTAATAATTTAAAATTAATAATTTCATATATACTTATGATTTATAAAATATATTTATGAAATTATGATATTATTTACTGATTTTTCAATTTTTGGAGCACAAAAATTATTTTCCAACAATACAATTTGAATTATAATCGATATGGCTTAGATCACGTTGCTAATGTCATTTCTATTTCTACTTCATGATTAATATTGATCAACTTAATTATGCGGTGACAGAGGTCGTCGATGCCTGCGCATCAATTCCGACACTCCAAATGGGTGAATCCACAGCCAACATTGCTACAGATATGGATATCATCTCTTACAAAGTTCCTCTCGGCATTACCGCATCTATTTGTCCCTTCAACTTTCCTGCCATGATACCGCTTTGGTCGTTCCCAATATCGGTCGCATGCGGAAATGCCGCAATTCTGAAGCCATCGGAGCGGGTACCAGGTGCGTCCATGATCCTCGCTGATCTCTTTACGAAAGCCGGTGCACCAGCTGGCATTTTAAACATAATACACGGCCAGCACGCAGCCGTAGACTTCATTTGCGAACATCCCGATATCAAGGCTGTTTCCTTTGTCGGTTCTGATCAAGCGGTAAGCCAAGATGGAAGCGAGACCGGAAATAATATCGAAATTGTCTTCCGTGTTTCGTCGTAGATCGATCTTCTCCCTTTTGCTCATATATATATTTTTATTGGACATCATATTTTTATCGAAGTATTTTCTACTTACTTTCTACTATAAAAAACAGTATAAAAAAAAGTTTTATACATAAAAAATAAATTTTACAATAAAAGGCTTTGTAATTATAATTAATTATAATTAATTATAATCGAGATATAAATATATACATATGTTTCTCAAATGTAGGGCAAATACATCTACAAGCAGAGCAGTGCACATGGCAAAAGGGTACAGTGCAACATGGGTGCTAAGAATCACTGCATCGTCTTGCCGGATGCAAATAAGAACAAGACGCTGTCGCAAATTTCCGGTGCGGCTTTCGGGGCCGCCGGGCAACGGTGCATGGCACTTTCGGTGGCCATTTTCGTAGGCAAATCTAAAGAATGGATACCCGAATTAGTAGAGGCGGCAAAGAGTTTGAGGGTAAACGCCGGTCATGTACCCGGCACTGATCTCGGGCCTGTTATTTCGCCGCAGGCGAAGCAGAAAATCTGCGAACTGGTGGAATCCGGTGTTAAAGACGGCGCGAAATTGGCTCTCGACGGAAGAAACATTACTGTACCCGGCTATGAAAATGGAAACTTTGTCGGGCCAACCGTGTTAACCGATGTTAAGGTAAAATAATATCTACGTTATAATAAAATGATTAATCAAGATTGCGTACGAAGCGCGAATTTGTAGGGGAAATTAATAAAAAGTAAGCTTCAAACTTTTATTATCATAGAAGAAAAGTTCACAGCGTGTCCTTCAAAATGAAAAGAGTTAAAGTGATTTTTTATAACTGTTTACTTTTGAGTGTATTTGTCATATTTTTGACGGAAACATTTGTACAAAATAAGATAATGTATTTTAATTTAATATTATTACATTTAATTTTTGAATATATTATAAATTATTAGAAATTGTTTGTGATGTATTACAGCCTACGATGAAGTGTTATACGAGTGAAATATTCGGGCCCGTTTTATCATGCATGTTCGCCGACACTACCGACGAGGCCATCGACATCATCAATAAAAATCCTTATGGCAATGGTACGGCAGTTTTCACGACAAATGGTGCAACAGCCAGAGCATTCGTGAATAGAATCGAAGCTGGTCAAGTTGGCGTTAATGTGCCCATACCAGTACCCCTACCGATGTTCAGCTTCACTGGTAACAAGGGTTCCTTCCTCGGTGATAATCATTTTTATGGGAAAAGCGTAAGTAGATATAACTTCACGTGACTTCATTCTGATAAGTTAATCTATTTATCCCAAAATATGTCATATTTATAACTCTTTGCAATCATTTAAAAATTTTTGAAATCTAATCGATTACCTTCAAGTTAATTAAAATTTATCAAAAATGATAATGATAATATTGGTATTGAAACGATATACAAATAAAAGATACATCTTATTTGCACACAATTTGCATTATTCTACTAGATTATTCTTTTTATATTGTAGGAAGATAATAATAATAAATCTAACTTGAAAATCTTTCTTGAACGAGTGATAAATATAATGCTAATATTTTTTACAATATTTCAGGGTGTAAATTTCCATACGCAAACGAAGACAATAACTCAATTATGGAGATCTGGAGATGCTAGTGATATAGCATCATCGACTTCGATGCCTACAATGCAATAAGACTGTGTATTTGTATAAGGGAAATATTATTATACTTCAAATATTTTCAAATTTTACAAGTGTAGTTAAGTAAAGCTTACTTCCGCAATTTATTACGCAGTAAATGATGTCTTCCATTTTATTACGTACAAATATATTATTATAAATAAATGTATTATACTCTAAATAAATTACATATATTTTTTTATAAATTAATAAAATATAATTCATTTTTCTTAAAAAATTATATTTATATTTACTCAAAAATAAAATTTGATTTATTAAAACTATATAAAATGACATATCAAATTTATGTCATATCAACAGATTAAATTATATAGTGATCGCTATCGAAAGAAATGTATCTCACGAATAAAATTGATTTTCATTTATAATTCGTTTATCAAAAAAATTCTACCTTACATTAAAATATTTAATTATGTTAATAAATAAGTATTAAAAAATAAAATTAATTGTAACAAATTTTGCGTTAATTCTCAATTTTCAAAAACGCTTTGTTAAACATAGCAATGCATATATTTTAATTTTCAGAATATAATTCGTACAACGGCAAACGGCGAATGCGATTTTTCTCCCCTATCGATCAGTTTCTCGTCCAGTACCAGTCGCGACCGTAATTTGGCGCGCGGGCGGTGCCAGGCGAAAATATGCCTAAAACTCGATAGTATAAGCGCCAAAAGAAGTTCACGGTCGACACCTCCTAATTCGTCCTTGAACCCTCGACTCCGCGAACCCGCGGACATCTATCCCTTGGCAATATTCGAAGCAACTTCCGGCAATCGGGAACGATGTATGCGCCGACGCGCGCACCCCGTCGTCGTCGTCGGGTCGCATCTGCGCATTTTCCAGCTGAGTTTCCTTCACAGGCGAGGTTCTGCCTGTCCCGGATTGTCGTGTACGCGCCGATACATCAGACCGGCAGGGAAACTACGGGAAAATCCTCGACTACCGTTTCACATATCGTGAGTATCGTCGATTCATCTGTGATTACGATCTTCGATGCAACCTTTCCTTTCTCCCCCTTTTTTCGTTTCCCTCGTAGAAATCAGCTTTATTCGATGGCTGAGAAGATTTGCCGAGAATAATTTATCTGGTTTACCGAGGAGGACTATCGACGTCCCTATCGAAATTGTATTGTAGTTAAATATTCGGTATGCATTAACATTAGGAATCGTAAAATACTGAGCGTTGAAAAACTGTTGTTTTTGTCATTTCTAACGTTCGAAAACCTACGATAATTTTTTAAACAAGTTGTCGGCGTCGACACCGGTTAAGCGGAGTGTAATTGATCATTTTGGATTTAATTTCCAGTATAATATTCATTCGACAAATTTATACTTCTTGTAATATCGATAGCATCGATATCGTGACTATCAGTATGTTTATTTCTAGAATCATTGCATTTTAAAAAATGAAATTTATATCGTTAAAGACTTTTGAATTTTTCTTTAATCATAATATTTAGTTTTAAATTTATATTTACATATTTATCTCTTTATAAATTATTATTATTAATTTTTCTTATAATATTGAATCAATTAATTAAAATAATTAGTTTGGCCATAGAGAGAAGAATATTGTTCTCTTCTAAGAGTCCAGACTGAGTAACGCTCGCATTTGGTTGTGATTTTGCTCTTTATTGTCATGCATGTCGAATGATCATTAAATCAGAAATATATTAATCGTACATATTTAAGTTTTACCTTTTCATATCTCTCCAAACTTGTTGACATGCTTTAAACAATGAGGCTTTTAAATGTCAAGAGCTTTCTACGCGAACTAATTTACAAACGTTTTCTATTTCCGTTATATTGTATAGTTTAATTAAACATTGTTTCACGATTGAACTTTATTAACCATTTGCTGAGTTATCGCAATACCGCAAAATCTAATAATAAATAAAGCTAATAATAAATCTAATAATAAATAAATGGCAAGTTTATTTTTTAAAATTTCAAAAATATCTTTAGGCAAGATATACAGCTTTATTTCTGATTTTTAATTTGTAATTAAGTTTAAAAATATACCAAAAACTGTGACAACTTAAAAAAAAATCTGCATAGAATATTTATGATAGTTTTATAACATCCTTACAAGGCAATATAACACAAAACAGAAAAAGTTTTCCTATCTTTTGCTTCTTGTGAAATGCATATTTAATGGAGTAATTCTTTATGCAAAAAAATATCGTGATGTAGTCGGTCTAATTAAAGTTCTTAATATATTCATTAACTCTTCACGCTGTTTTGAAAAACTTCTAAATTCGATCTTCTAATTAAGCATCTTTATCTCACAAACAGCTTTCTCGCGCGAAAAAAAATCATTTAAACACCTCTGACTTCGGTTCACGCAAACACTTCATCGCCTTTTCTTTACTTTAATATAACAAGACTCTTCCTGACAGCATGAATAATTATGTATGAAATGGAAACGTGATGCCAGGAGCTGCATCATAACGATTTGGCGAGAGACAAATTATCTTGTGTCGTATACTTTTGTATTGTATCTATCTCGAGAAATCTCTATTTCCTTTGGTTTGCACCTGTATTTTATGGCTGATTCTTTACGAGATATTAAATGCCAGAAATGTCATTTCAGAGAAGTAGATTTTTAAATCTGAAAAAATTCGAGAATATATTGATATAAACGACCCATTCGAAAAATCGAGGTACACACTTTATTATGGTGTGACAGATTATTTTATTACACTGTCATTTTATTATTGTATATAATAATGCTATCATTTTATTATTGTATATAATAATGCATTCCATAAAAATAAATTACTAACAGTACATGAATAAACATAACAGTATACATGAAATTTATCATTTATAATGGAAGTGTGGACAAAATCACTGCTGTCCGTTCTTCAACTGCGAATTTAATCCAAAATAAATAAACATGTTATTTAGTATTATTACAATTTTTATTGTAATTTATTTTATAAAATATTATTTAATGTTACTTGCTGTTAAATTGTTGGCAACAATTTTCCAGATAATCTATTTCAAATATAATTTTGCAGAAAAATTTTCCGAATAATCTATCTTAAATGTAATATCGAACACAATGATATTTTAATTTTGCAACAATATTTTGCATAAAATCTCTGATTTAATTTTATTTTCAATGTTGAGATTGAATTTCAATGTTGTACTTTCTTTCCTTTGTTACGATTCTCTTTCCAATAGCAATAAAATTGAACATTTTGATTACAATGCAAGAAATTCCTTGAATAACCGCGCTCTTGAAAATAAATATGCGAGACTATTTTCGACCGACAGAATCGTACATTTCCAGTTTCGGCCAGTTGAAGGATCACCATCGTGTATTTCCTAACAAGATCTATCCTGACAGGTTGAATAATTATGTACAAAACGGTGCGGAAAGGCGATGCCAGCCTGCAGTACACGATACTGCCACAGACGGATCAGTTTTCGTCCGGCGGATTTCCGCAAACTTCCGGTAAGCCCCGGCCGAGGATCATCAAGTATACAATGGGCACTGTGATGGTCCTTATCATACTGTCCTGCGTGGCCACGCCGTTCCTGATGAATCAGAACGACCACAACCTTTTCGCCAGCACGATGCTGGCGATGAGCCGAGTCGAGCCGGTCAGAAACACATCGAGAAGCCAAACGAAGGACATTGGTGTTAGTAAGAACAGAAGCAGGATTCCGACTACATCGGTGTCGACGACCGAGGTCACTAGGAGGAAAGACCTCGAAGATAGCACGACCCTTTTCAACGGAATTCTCCGAGGGAAGGAGGAGGAGGAAGAAGCAGTAGTTGATGATACCACGTTAGCAGGTATTGTTTTACTTGAATTCTAAAGAGGAGTGATGATATATGCGAGCAGATAATTACAACCAATATAACATTTTTTTAATAACATAATAGCGTTTTATTATAAATAATAATTTTATTATTATAAATAAAAGCATCTCGATATTTAGTATTTAAATTATTTGTACTCAAGAGAGAGAATGATATCTATTTTCATAAAATATATATTTCATTTGTCATCGTAAAATAATATATATATTGCACATCTAAAATATATCTAAATATATTACACAACATATATATAATAATATATTGTGTCTTTTTTTGTTCAGAAATTTAACGTTTTTCAAATTAGGACGAACGTTTAAAATTAAGTACGAAATTTAATTTTTCCATCTTCATAAAACCGTACTAAAACTGTAAATGTCGGTTTTAAAACGGATTTCAATTTTATATAAATTTATGAAGATGCTCTGTTATCGATTTTTCAACTAAGCTTGTGATAATATCGCAGAGATATCGGTGAATATAATATAATTATTATGAAAAATATAAGCTCAGACAATTCTCTCCTTTCAGACACATCGGAAATTGGTACGCAAGCAATTCCAAGCACGGAAACGTCGACGAGCGTCCGTCAAACGGTGACGACTTCCGCTCTACCGCCGACAACGACTCTCTCGGCGTCTTCGAGCGGCACGACAGAGGACACGAAGACGGCGAGCACACCAAAAAAACCGAAGATGCCGAGGGTGACCCTGAAACTACGCGAAAACGAGACCATACCGCAGATGTACATGAAGGCTGGAATAGCCTCCTACAAGAAAGGCAATATCACTACTAGTGTTCTCGCACCGCGCCTGAGCCTCGAAGGCCTGATATTCAAAACGCCCGAGGGCACGATAAAACCCTGGCCTCAAAAGTGGTTCTTCAGCGATCCCTCGGCCGACTTTCAGTGGAAGGTAAGTGCTCCTCTATTTCTCGATCAAATGCTCGGTACGTTCTCGGAGATGAATTGTGTTCAAGGAGACTTGGAATATATATCTGCATTTTAATAAAGTGCATCGATCATCATGCAAATCGGCTGTGCAAAAATTTGCTGACTTGTCGCGCGTCTTGACTTTTTCTCTTTCCGGAATTTCTTTTTGAAGAAGAGAAACCGAGCTTTTTTTGAACATTACAATTTTATAGTTTTTCATATATAAGTTTTTCATATATAGTTTTTTATATAATTTTACTTATATATATATTTTTTTTTTTCTTTAAACAAAAAATTGATCGAATGTTGTCGAAACTCAGCTTCTTCTAATTTTTGATTATTTTTTATTTGAAATAAGAGTACTTTAAAAATCCGAGGGTGTTTCAAGAAATATAATCAGTGTTTTGAAATTGCTTTTCGTTGGAAACTTTTACATTTCTCGTTTTTAAATATTTCGACGACCAGTAGACTTATATCCAATCTCACTCATTTTTGTTATCGCCGTTATATATTACTTTGTAGAATTTAATAAGATAATATCATATCTTGATTGTGTGGTCCACAAGATATATAACGTCATTCGGCATTCTTCTCATATTTTCAAGTCTACTGGTCGTCTGGCTGCCGACTCGAAAATTTGCGTCCTGCATAAATATTGATCGCGTTGCACCAAAGACATCTAAACTGAAGCACTCTGTCCGATCGATAGGCAGAGCATGTTCGTGAATCTAAAAGCAGACGAGCAATCGCTCGGAGCCTTTATTTTTCTCATACGTTTCCCACCGGGACACAGCAGATGTATTTTTATTTCCTTTTTGGAAAATTGCAGAACGTGACATTATATAACAATTTCTATAAAATGTCTCGTGATATCGCGCCCTATCATATATATACACACACACATACATTTCTTTTCTCTTATTTTCTCCATTTTCTTTACAACAAGATTTCCTATGCAAATGAATTCAGAAGAAAGGGAAAGACTGTCTTCTTGAAACACCTCTTGTTGATCAATCAATATAAAAGCTTGTGTTTTCTCTTGATTCGATAATGCTATTCGTTGGTGAGGATGCTTGCGCTGCATCTAAAGATTTTTGCGAAGATCGCACGCATATTATTGAGAAAAAAACGTTACATGTTTATAAAAAAATTATAAATCACATTCATTTAAATTTACTTGAAATTACGATTCATTATGCAATAAAAATTATGAATTTTATTTTTGCCAAGAGAGTACATTTGTAATTAATCCAAATTTAATGATTCCAAAAATAATTGCTTTGTTAAGAAGTTAGCGACGACAAAAGTAATTTATTCGATATTCTTGTTAAAAAATATTTTTTGTCAAATATTTTCGTAATTCGCTATATTAGCGAATGCAGCGGATCCTTTTAACGCTGTTATTCATTTAAGCAAATTTATCGAGCTAAAAGCTGTTCGTTGAATAATCTCGCTTCTCTTATCTAATTTTTATAAATTGTGCACAATATAGTAACACATTCTACTTTATAACTCGCCGCACCTAGAACTTTTACGCAGGGAGTGCTTAATTTTTAATTTATTACACAAAATTAAAAATTTTCTCGCAGCCTGCGAGAGATTAATAAGGTCTTGAGTATCTGCTAATTCATATGTTTACCGGTATCCAATTTGCCGCGGCAGTATCGGATTCTCTACTAGTTTGTGTTTTGCATATTAAACGGTAATTGGGATAACAGAGAGCAACATTTTCCGATGAATATTCATCTCTCAGATAAGTAACGGTATAGATTATATACGCAAGATAATACGGCATTATTGATGAAAATCGCAAAAATAAATTTCGGAGCTTCTTGATTTGGAAAATATCGTTAAAGACAATAAATATTCATGAAATTATATTTGTATATAAGATACATATATGTAATATAGAAAAAATATATTACGGAGGAAATAAATAAAATTCATTTTATTCGACATATTCGAAGTATTGTTTCGGTTACCTAGTTATAAATATAAATTTTAAAATGAGAATTATTATTAACTTTTGTTCCTTTTTTTCGATATCCTTTATTTATCGAATCGATTGATTCGCAAACATTTATTTTTGCACCTGTTAGTTGTAACGAAAGGATAATTCTGTAACAGTAAATAATTTGATATCAGGAAGTATATTTAATTAAAGTTCAAACAATGTATGTAATAAATTACTACTACATGTCTCAATCGAAATATTAAGTTAGATTCCACGAACGATGGAAATAGTTGCTCAGACGAAGGCTCGGTGGCATTAAACGGAACACTATCGTGAATTCCGTGCATTACGCGATGCACAAATCAGAATTTCAAGTAGGTTATTGCGCCGATGGCTGGCGAAATGGGAGCTAGCGAAAACATTATCATGCACGTAAAACTGTAGGCTGACCTAATGGCGAATTAAAGCAGTCACTGTGCAATCGACAGAATTCAAAGAATGTTCCTTTATTCAACAATGTACTTGTTCATTGTACAAAGAATGATAAATAATCTGAAAAATTGTTATTGCACGAAAAAACAGATATTTTTAAATATTTACCTAAAAACGTTTTTATTATGATTCTAACAGAAATAAAGTGGGATATATTTGACATCATTGATCCAGTTTATTTTTGAAACTTGAATGTTCGTTCCCAGCTATCATTTTGTTTAACTTTAATCTAGATATGTAATATAAATACATTATTTATAAAATTGCATATATGTGATGAAATAAAAAAATTATAATAATATTGTTGATTAAATTAATAATTTAATTAATGTAATAATAATTTATATTATTAATTAATATTTATTAATATTTATTAATATTATTAATATTATTAATTAATATTTACTAATGGTTCATTAATTGATTTAATTTTTTAAATGATACGTATTTAAATATAGAAGCGTGCAATAAAAATAAAAAAAGACAGGAAAGAAAAAGAAATCTTTTATGATATTTTAATTAAATGAAAACATTTCATAGTGAGAATTTATAAAAATATATGAAGATATAAGAAAGTAGAGTATTTTCAATATTTCAACTTTTCACGCAACGAAAATTATTTATCGTACAATGAGGACATTAATCGTGTTTAATTAACGTTTCAATGAATTTACAGGGCTCGACCCAAATGCCGGTAACAATTTACATCGTCCTCGCGGGACTGGCCGCTTTAGCGAGCATCAGTATTGTCCTGATGTTTTACGTGCAACGTAAGGCGAGACGTCAACGGCCGAACATAGAGGAATGTCCAGAATGGCCGGAAGTCGAGGAACATGAGGAAGACAAGTCGACTCTGCTGGGGGCGGAGAGCCAAGAGATCGAGGAGAAGGAGTAATTGTCTGGCAAGACAAGCACAACGCATCCGTACATATAGCGCGCGTAAGACTTGCCTATTTTTACAACACAACACATCAGTTAGGTTTAGAGTCTTCCAGGTCGAAGGATTGAACGTTGAGAAACGAGCGGACGGGAGGGATTTTTTTATAATATGCAACCGGAATTAATTAGAGAATCGTATTAGGACGAACGCGCTCCGTGACTCGGTCGCCTGAATTGAGGATGCATGCACGATATTTTTTTCTCGCGAGATTGCTCACCACATTGTTGTTACGTCCGTAAGTTTATATTCTTCGCGCCATAGCGAATTTTTAAGCAAGGGATTTTTCCGCGCAAAAGCGGAAACAATCGTATTGTACAATCATTCTTAGCGTTTGCACTTTCATTTAGATGCCATTTACATGTTTGTTAAGAAATTAGCGACGGACCAGTTAAGTTTGTGGCAATTGTGGTATACTTCGACTAACGACTATGATTAAAAACGATTATAATAAATACGACAATGAATCTTGCGATAGTCGAATTGATCATGAAAAATTGCATAAAGAGATTCTGTTATATATTATATAAGCTTGCGATGAAGTAGAGCAGGTTTTAAAAACCCACGGACGAACGCATGATGTGCGTGAAGACAAACTACATATACAGAGGAAAAATACCTCACTGGCGAATTAAGGAGACCGAAATTTATAAAATCTTTCACAAAACGATAATTATAAGACTCTTTCTTTCGCTTTCTTTAGAATCTTTGTATGAAGAATTTTTGTATTGTACAAAATTTAAAAGGTCGACTTGACAATGTCTAAAGAAAAAAAGCACCTAAAAAAATATTAATATTCCGGTTAGTGAACACATATAGAACATATTCTTGTAAGAAGAGAACGCAGGACTTAAGGTACAAATGATTTTAAATTAAATGAGAGATTTAATTCATACAGTGTATGCCGTAAGATAGATTAAAATTAGTTTGAAAATCTAGAGCAAGGAAAGATATAATTACAAATGTAATATGTATAGTACATGAAAAAATAAATATATTATAATTTTGAAACGTTTAAACAATTTTCGAAGCTCAAAGAAAGGTCTCCTTAATTCGGCCGTCTGTATTTGCTAAACTTTCTATATTGTACACGGTATGTATATGATTATAAGATATTATGTATACGTGTGTCATCGACTTTTCTATCGCGAATCTCAAAAAAGCAACGTGCTTTTTGACTTTCTGACGTCAGTCGAATTCTATCTGCGTACAAAAGTAGCCGTACTGCCAGCTACAATAAAGGGCCAGCTTTCCATCTCCTCGTTTAATTAAAAGTGATGTTTGATGAACGTGCTATCAGATATATCGTTCGATCGATATCCGCGCATCACTCGACGATATCTATCATATGGGGAGAAACATATTTTTTTGCAAAGTCTCTCAAACAGCTCGACGATATTACGTCAAAAAGTATATGTACACGTGACTCATATTAAATTAATCCAAGCTCTGTGTAGTATCGAAATTTAATTATAGATTGATTTAATCAATATGTCATTTTGCTAAAATTATGATACGAAATTATTTTTAAAAATGCATATAATCGGGACATAGAATTTTATATGACTACATTCCCCAAAAAAAAACATTAAATAAATCATATTTAGTTAAAACTAAAATTAATGTGGATATGTATTATATTTGTCAATATTATATAGAGAGAAAAGTACGCGTATCGCTGTCAAAAAATTATACACTTAAAAATAGAATATATTTCAAACAAATAGACATAGTAATTTTCAAAGATTTAAAAGAATCAGTGTTTTTCTGATTTATCTAATATTTTATAAATTCCTAAATTCTATCTAAATCTAAAAATAATTTTCTTTTAAAATCAATTTTGCTAAATTAAAAATAAATATCGAACTAATATTGATATTATATGATATAATTTATAAAATTTTGTGTGTTTATTACAATCTCTTGTATCAATTCTTTATTTTATAATTGTGTCTATTAATTATCAAAATAATTTCTTTTATTTTTTCAATGCAAAATTATAAATTTTGAAATGTTATCAAGCAATTTGCTATAATATGCAAAACAAGACTTAACTATCCGAGCTTTACAACCAAGAATGCTCCTCAAGATTGGCTCTAAAGGTCAGTTTTGCCACTTTATTTTATTCAAGGCAAAACACATAAGATAATTTTACGCTTAAAAACGAACGCTTGTACAGGCGATTTGAATCTAGTGTACGTTTATTATATAACGACGATAACAAGTTGACCTAATACTGTGCAAGTTGTTTACTGTCTGTAAGATCCATTTTATCAGTAGATATTTTCTACAAGATCTGTGCGCAATACATAGTTCCATTTTTTCAATTGATTCTATAGTCTGTAACATTTATTTCGGGTGAGCTGCGATTTATGGTATAATATGCAATCTATTAAATACATATATGTATATAACACACATATACATACAAAGCATAATCTATGATTTGTTGTGACAGTCTTGAAACAACAATTATAGATAAATAATTCTACAAATTTCAAAAATCTTTAAATTTTTATAATATATACATTTGCGAAAGCTTCACGATAAAAAAGAAATGATACTGTTAACACTAACAGATAATTATAGATTCTAAATCTAAAAATTATTTATTTCAAATAAAAGTTTATGTATTTATTTACAAAAATATGCATTTAGTTTTACGATACAGATGAAAAAAAACGGGTACAATTTTTCGATGCTTGCTATTAAAAATGTAGATTGTTATTGATGAAGTTAAAAAGTATGAATTAACAGAAAATCGAAGTGAAAAGCATTTTGTGAATAATTGCACTTATAATTATATTAATCTAATTACAATAATTATATTCTTGATTCATAAATAGATAATCATAACTATATGATTACAAAGTTAAACAATCTATATGGTTACAGAATTAAACAATCTCATAAAATCCATTTAATTTTGTATATATTGCACATGCTGTTCGCACAGTTAAAATCACACAAACTCATAATATCGTTATCACAAATTCATACAGAAACATTTATTAAAAACACAAATATAGTGTTTATTACGATTACCACGCTCAATTACATTGTTTTGCATACATATTTTGTAATAATAAGCCACTCATTATGTTATAACAAATGAAATATTTATGCATAGATTCTTTATGTTTAGTTTAACAAAATAAAATTCTCATTTATTATTTATAATTAAAAAACGATCAGAGCAATTTTGATTTTTGATCGGACTTATTCGAAAATATATCTTGAAATGTTAATAATTTTCGATAATTTTATTTATAGATATTAATTAATTATAGTAAATATTATATCAATGTTTGTAAATGTCGATTATTCATATTTGTATTTTATATTATTGATATCATTAATTTCCTATTCGAATATGTGTGTTGTACGATTTGATTTTGGAGTTTATTTATATTATTATTGCTATATTTTTCTCCTAAAATATTACTCTTATTATTATACCATTATTATACCACACAGGAATAATATCTATCATATAATTTATAAAAAATAATGTGTATTCCTGTATTATTTATTATATTATTGTACGTAATTATGATTATTATTATTAGTATTATTTATTGCTTTCAAATATGCTGAAAAATAAAAAATTTGTATATACATATAAATATTTATTTAATATATAAAACTTTGTTTCATTGAATAATCTGAGATTTAACAAAATAATGATTTAAATGAATAAATTAATGATTTTTTTTAAATAAAAAATTAAATTGCTTACAAAAATATATTAATCATAATTTACACCATAATTTACAATTTGTAAATTTTATGTACATAAATAATAAGTTAAATAATAAGTTAAGATTAACTTTTAAATATTTACGGAATTGTGATTAGAATTAGATATCAATGTATATTTAATTCAATATTATTAAGCGATCCTGCAGCAAAAATTGTGTATAAATTATAATCATTATGTTACAAATGAATAAGAACGCAAGAAATTCGATGATTATATGTACGGAATATTTAAAAGATAGTTAAGGATATAAAATTCGGATCGTATACTAATTAACTATTCATGTGACTTTTCGTGTATTAAACTTAACTTTTATGATATATGTATTGAAATACGACACTGCAAAATTTATTAGAAGCACTTTGGAGAGCTCATAACTTGCAAAATTACTATAAGGCACCTGATGCATAAGTAAAGCGAAAAAGTACGATAAATTCACCACAAGATAAAACACTTTTCTTGTACCAATTTTCAGTCATGTATTTACTTTAATAAAATAGGTCGATTTTTAACGGGAAAGTTATTAGAAAATTTATGAAAGATATAACGCTCAATAATTTTTCGAAACTCTTATCGTGTTGTAGAAATCACGCGAAAGAACCAAATGGGAAGAAAAAATAAAAAGAAACTCATTTAAAAATCGATCATGTTTTCGCGAAATGGATGTCTCGAAGACTTCAAGTCGATAAACAACAGTATGCACAGGTAGAGCACATATATAGAAAAAAAAGTAATGTTCGATGCGTTTTTGAAAGAAATAAAGAATTCATAAATGACACAATAGCACTGTAGCTAAAGAGAAAAACGGTTATAGTTTCTATTTTGAAAATTATATTTTTTTAACTTTATTAATTTTTGACTTCCACGTACATGTATAAATAAAAAAAATAATAAAAAAAAGATATATACAAAAATTATATAAATATAAAATTGTAATGGATTATTGTATATACATATACACGTACATTTTAAACAAGACCGTGGAGCGTGTAAAATCACGCGGGATACTTTAGTTTAACGATTACTAATGAAAAGTGAAAAAATCACAGGAAGAATTGCAAAATATTGACTAATTCTTAAGTTATAAAAATAAGATACATAAATTATATTTCTCTATCAAATAAATGTGTAAAAGATTATATATTTATTATATTAATTATATGTATAGAATGAATTAATTCAAAGAAGGAAGATAATTTTCTCCCCATGGAAACGCAAATATTTAAAAACAAAATTTTTTAGCCAAAATTGTTTTCAGTGATAACTTGATAAACTTGATTCGAAAGTCAATACACAATGCGCTTCCAAGAATTTTAACCTTGTTAATCAAAGTGATGATTATATTGACGCATTCACGGTTTACAAGATTAAAGGCTACACATTGCGAAATTATTAACACGTTGTGTTCGCGTTACACGGTCTATTCACATTAGCTTAGCTAGGCCAATCAATTTTGTGTACATATATTATTATTGTACGTACGTAAACTCGAAGTATCTGTTAAGAATACGGCGGATAATGTAAGTAATCAATTAGCCAATGTTTAAATTTTACGTATAAACCTATATTGGAAACAATTACATTGACAAAACAGTAACGGAAAACTTTATTTATTAAAAAAAATGAGTTGTTTTTGCACTTGAATATACTTGAATATATTTCTGACAATTATCAAACAAAATGTGGTTTTTCATAGCCGAGTCACTATTTAAACCGCACATATGTGCTATCTCTCCGCTATAATCCTATCAGATGCCTCGATTCTACACGTATGTCTCGAGAATCACGATACGGCTTACCGAATGTGGTCCGTTTATTACTGAAAATTGAATTGTTAATTCAAGTTGGGAATGGACTAGCTCACGCCTAATTAGGGTCTATAAGTGTATACAAATAAATAAAACGTTGAGAAACAATCCTGCATTGTTCATATTAAATTTGTAGTTTCAGCAACTTTGTTGTTAAAACTTTTTTAATACTTTATTACAAGAATTGCATTACTGTTTTTCAAAGTTTTTTAAAGTGCAATTATTTTAAAATTCACAATCGAAAGAAAATTTAACAAAATTTAATTAATTATAAAATCAAATAGATAATTACTTTTATAAGCCAATAATTACTTTTATAAACCATTGAAATAATTTTTTAATAATAAGTGACATTTTTCGATTTTCTTCGATTGTATAAATATTTAGCATTTTATATTATTATTCTAATAATTAAATTATTTTAAAATTATTTTCTATCATTATACTATTTTATTTATCTGATAATCTCACATAATCACACATATGTCACTTGAAATTACTTCAATCCTGCCATAAAAATATTCAGAAAATTATTATATTCTTTTGTTTTTTCAATTTTCTTCATTATTATCTTATAGATTTGCAATTTTTCCTAGCAGTTCAAATCTATCTAAATAATTTTTTTTTTTCAAAATAGTAATAGTAATCATCAATGACTTCTCAAATGAAGAAGATCCAATGAAACTTTACATAAATTATCATCTTATATTTAGATTTCTATCAATTTTATTGTGTTAATTGAAATTTCAACATTATTTAAAAATTTTAAAATGTCTCCAATTTTGTGAATTATTATTATTTATTCAAATATTCCTCATTTTTTCAAAATCTGATTTTTTAACTACACTTTTTACTTGAAAGTTTTTTCGCAAAATACAATAATATATATTTTTTTCATGAAACATTTTTCAAAATCTAATATTAACGTGTTAATCAACAATCTCGTCGCGAAGGAAACAATCAGAAAAGCTTGTCGAGCATTTGTACCGAAGAGATGGCAGCAGCACACTCGTTCTAGAATTTACAGAGGCAAGGCGCAAGTTCGACTAACAATTACCACCTCTATTTCTGTAGTCGTCGAGCGCGTGTGCCAGGGAGACTGTTCAGTGTGGCTTAGACTTCAGCCGGACGGAGTCTGGCCAGCCTCGTCCCTGGCGTGTGATACAGTAAGTACACGAAATCTGACTGAAGTCGACAAGTTTATTCGCACGATCACCTTGACCGGTATATTGTTGATATGGACCTAAATTGGAATATAATTTCTCTCAATTCTCCGAGTGTATGCGAATAGTGAACGGTGTATGCAAATGTGCGAATAAGTGCAACGTTCATTATTTCACGACCAGGAAAATTCGTTTTCCAACCACAATTGCGTGATGAATTTTTCCTTGGATACTTTACTAGCGTCAATAAATGAAGCAATAATGGTATATTCTTGTCTGTTTCGAATATGCCTATAATATGTGTTATAAAATTCTTAACTGATGATAAACATGCACGAAGTATATAAATAATACAATAAATTTATAATAAATGATGGAAAATATATCTTTAATTTTTAAACTTTAACAAATGATAATATTTTAGCTTCGAATTATTTAAAATATAAGATGTTACGTATATATATATATATACTTGTACCTATATATTTCTACGCATCTTGATTCGCTAATAACGATTCATTCATTCGAGTTTATTTTCTAGTTTTGAAGGTCATATATTTAAATTTATTATTCAACTTATTTACACAAAGATACATAATCAATTTAAAAATGTAAATATTTTTTAATCTCTTGAGAATTTAAAAATTACTGTATATAATAGCAAATAATTTTTCGCGTACATATACATATCTTGAGTTTACGCTATTGGGAGTTATGTCATTTACATGTTTGCATAAGTGTTAACAATTTAAATAAAGTAATAGAATTTTTTTCATAAATAAATTATAGGAAATTATCACGTTTGCAGTAATTCGTTATAATGCGAAGTCAAAAGTTGCGCACTTCGATATTAAGTAGCATATATCAAAAAATAATCAAAGTTATATTCTTATCGAAATAGGGAATAAAACTTGAATGTTTTCTGAGTGATCAAAATGCATTATCTTCGAAGGAACCAAACATAACGAAAAGAAGTACAAATTGCTGCATGATGATATGTGACAATGAAACCGAGGCAATTTACATAACCAGTTTCCTTTAATATTACATATTTGTGTTGCTTTTGTACGAAAAAAATTGAGAAAGTTATTCATTATTGATGACATAGTGCTTAATAAAGATAAATAAAATAGTAAATAATATATAACAACTTGTTAACAATAATTTATTGTTAAAAAATTGTATATATATATATATATATATATATATATATATATAAACATATAATTTTATATAAAAAATGATAAAAAAATTTATTTCTATTAGATCTAGTATTTTTCTTTAATTTATAGCGAACGTATATACGCATATATTGATAGTTTCCTCATATCTAGTGCTAAATATACCTGTAGTAGTGTAGTGCTAAATATATCCTAATAATATCATGACAACATTATGTATGATTCAAATAAAATCGCGAGTTTTAAATTATGACATTTAATATTAAATATATAATAGAAATACGCAAACATCAGAAAAAATTTGAAACAAATTTGAGACATGTTTTGCAGTCTTAAAATTGCAATTTTACATATTATATTAACTTTACATTAAACAATTTTTAAATTTTTTTTTAAAGACTTAGTTTAATCAATTACTGGCTATACAGTTACAATTCTTTGTCCCTGAATCGCATATATAATTACGTGCTGGATTAAATGCTCACATGTATGGCACAATCATATATCTCTATTTTTCATTTGTTTAATGATGGCGATGAGTGATCCAGGTGGATCAAGGCAGACTACGAGACTACTTTGACCGAATAACCTTCATTGCGGTGCATTTCGAGATTCATTCGCATGTGCACGATTGTGATGCAACTGTGAAAACTGCAGATAGCACGTGCGCAGCGCGTCATATGCGAGACTGCTTAATATTTCTCTATCTCGTTCTTCCTCTCGATACTTCACTATCAGCATTGTGTTTTTTGCGTAATCATATCTTTTGTGAACTTTGCCCTCACGCAATTTGTGTGTGTGTGACAGGACAGTAAATTGAACAAACAAAAGTTGATTATTTCTTCTATCTCCTATAATCTTTTTTCAAATTATTTTTCTATTTATCTTTACTTTTTCTATTTATGTACTTTATTTTTTTTATTTTTTAACATATTTAGATATTATATATTTCTTCTATTTTAAAGCTGGACTTAAAAGCAGATTTTTTCTCTTCGATAGTTTTCATTTTCTAGTTTTTATTTAAAATATACGTAATAAATCAGTTGTTTTCAATCAGATTCTGTACAAAGTTTTTCACGAAGGATCAATACAGCTCTAGCGCATATATTGACCTATTCTTATTATAATATTCTTCTACGAGTTGCCAAGAAATGATGCCAATGAACTCAAAAGTTTTTTATGTAGCACAGTCTTTTATTTGTTCCGCTGTAATTATATTACACTTTATATTTCTCTACCACGCAAACTGTGTATGCGGATAAAAATATTTCCTTACGTAGGTGAAGCTAATAGTGGTATAAAACATTAATTGCTAACATGAAAAAGAAATATACATATATATATATATATATATATATATATATATATATATATAACTCCTTTCATATTTAATATTATTTTGGATATCTCATCATTATTTCGTTGTTAATACTAATTTACATTCTTTATAATAGAATAGCAATTTATGTCCAATTCATTTTTACTTCAATTAAATCACATTGTTAAGCTGATTAAGTAAATTAGGAAGTTATCATGATACATTTATTAATTATATTATTAATTATATTTTAATTGCTTATCAATTGTACTTGAACTTTACAAACAATGTATGAAAATGCTATATATATAGATAGATAGATAGATAGATAGTGAATCAGTCTCTGACGCCACGGCGTTGTCATTACTACGGATCAATACTTAAAAGTATTTCACAGTGTTTTATATATTGTGATTTATACATCCAATAGTAATAAATAAATGTTTCTCAATAATATAATAATGGGTACATAATTCTATCAATCAATAATAATAAATAAGTATAAAATCTGCGTTTCGTATACAAAAATAATACGAGCAACAATTGATAGAAATTCTACTCAATTATCAACTCAATCTTACCTTTAAACCTTAGAAAGTTGATTGGTGAAAATGAAGCCAATCATAGTTCACTGTTTGATTGAACTACAATCATACGATTGCATTATCTATCTAGAAAAATCAGGCAATCCAATTCTTTCAAATGTTATCATAATCTATAATTAGATTCACATAACAATTATTTATTCATTTCAATTTATTTGTAATATAAATTATAGATTTGATAAATAAATAATAAAATAATTAATTTAAATAATAAATAGTCTAAATAATAGTCTGAATAAATTCATGCAAGTTTTGACAATAAAAATCATTACACAAAATCATACCACGGATATGGTAAAAAAATGATTTATATGAATTGTAATCTATAAAAAGTTTGTAAATTAATATACATATTTATAAATTAATTATGATAGTGGCAATATTTGAATGAAAAAACAATTGTAATATATTTTTTTCTTCTATAATATAACTTTTTCTCAAAACTTTAAAAACATTTAATAATATATGGCCAATAAAAAATATGCTATAATAATAAATTATTTTATTATTATAGTGTACTTTTTGTTCGCCATATAATAAATATTATATGGTGAATAAAAAAATACACTATAATAATAAAATAATATACTATCATATACTATATAAAATCATATACTATCACTATATACTATCATAATTAATTTATAAATATATTAATTTATAAACTTTTTATAAATTAACTTTTTACTATATATATATAGAGTATTAAAATCTTAAAAATTATTCTTATAATAAAATAATTATTTTCTTATTTTAGTTTTTGTTTAATTTTTTATTGCATTTTAAAATAACTTCTTATTTCCATCTATATTTTATATAATATGTATTAATTTTGTCAGCTCTATCATACATACACATGTCGTATTATATTTGTTTTATCTTATTTTGTTATCAGATTAACATACACGAAATTCACAAAGTGTAAGAATCTACATTCTTGAAAAAATGTTATTGTATCTATTTTGCGTGTAATAAAAAACGAAAGAAATCAAGGACACAGCGACACGTGTTTTGCGAAATGAGGTGAATAGTTCACGCGATTAATATTATAGCTGTCTCGATTTCGTAATCGATAGTTTATTATTCGCGATCGAAAGTTTTGAGGACGATCGAAATTATATTTATAAAAATACAATCTGGTGAAAAATCATAAACATGATTCTTCGATCGAAAGTGCGAAGAAATTGCAAAAGATTGTTTGCATTTACTTGTGACTTGCAAAAGCATGCCACGAATACGAGATCAGATAGAAATTCCGATAGAATTCAAATAGAAATGTCTTTCGTTCTACATATTTTATGATTAATTCATATCACGCAGTTTTTTCATAAAATTGTTATTCATAACGAATAATATTATGTACGTTTTATTTATCAAGCAATCTTATGCAATTTATAACAACTTTATGTAATGATATTTTATATGTTTACATAGGATACAGAATGTACACGTATAATATACGTAATGAATAAAATATATAATTATCATTTTTATTATAACATAATTAATAAATAATTAATAAATAATTATATAAATATACATATAATTTATAAGATTGTTAGTATTTTGTTTTATAAATCATGATTATATATATAACCATAATTTATAGCCGTTAAATAAATATAATATTTATTAAATAAAATATTTATTACTAGGAAGAAATTTTCGAAGATGTATCAATTGTCTCGATGATAAATTTATATTCAAAATTATTTTAAATGTTTCTTTTGTTTGCGGTAACAAACAGCAAGATAATTTCCATTGCACAAGGATTTGACCAACATACATCCTTATAGAACATATATGTTTTACAAATAGCATGAATGAAATGTATTAATTCCATATATTAGTGAATATTAAAGTATTCCTTATCGGCATCACGTGGTTTTTTAAATAATTTCGATAATTGTTATAAAAAGTGTCTTTTATTCTCGTTATCACTTGTTAGGAATGTCAAACAATGAATTTAATTGATATGAATCACTGCTTGAAGACAGGAAAATACAGCTTGATTTGCTTGCAATTATCGCAACATTAATAGATAGAATCAATTAATTATATAATCAAAAATTATATAATTATTATATAATAAATATATGTATTTCGTAACACAAAATATAATCTTAGAGTAATACTAATGCATTTAATATTCAAATATATATTTAATTATTATTAATTTATATTTTTCAATGTTTTTAAATACATATATAAAGATAAATACATATATATAAAGATAAATAATGAATATAATCATTACTATATTAAAACAGAAGAAGTAATCAATTAAATTAACTATTAAATATAATATCTTTAATTACATAAAATTTTAAAATAAAGAGATTGTTTCAAGAATTGGAGAATATTTTATTGCTTTTTCAATATAATTCAATTACTTTATCATTTGTTCAATTACTTTATCAATCATTAAAGTATAAACTGCTCCACTTTTAGATTTTGTTATCAATTGTAACATTTAGTAAATAATAGAGTCTATTCATGAAACAGTTTCACGTTGCCTCTAACTACATCATAGTTTATATTGTGTCATATCGTGTGTGACATCTCTCAGTGCATTATATTTACCTAATACCTCTCTTACGTTTGCAAATATATTTATATCTTTTTACGTAAGCGCGATAACGAAAGTAAAGATTTACGTAAATGCGATAACGTAAGTAAAAAATCAATAGTAGAGATTAATAAAATGAAAATTGTCATACTTTCTCATAAAATTTATTTATTACGCAATTTATTACCGTGCGATTTTTGATTGATATTGATGTATATTTTAACATACGATCTATGTTGAAACATCAATTAATTAACATAAACATTTACTAAAAAAATATATTCGAGAATTAACTCACAAAAATTTTTTCTATTCATGAAAAGGATTTCAAATATACATCTTTTATGTTGAAACTATAAAGCGAAATGCGTCACGATGCGTCAGAATGATTTAGTAATATTAAATTAATAATGTATTGAATGGTCGTTGACCATTGATCAAAGATATTTTACAGAACGCACATATAATCATCGTCACAAACAACACTAACGTATTAAGAGCACTAAATTTATTTTGAATATTAAATTTATTTTGAATATTTATAAGCAAAAATATTTATAAGCAAAAATTTTACGTTTAACTTTATATATATTATATTATATTTATAATTATATAGGTATATTCATATAATTATATTCATGTAAAATTTGGTCTAATAAATTTTCTTTCATAATTTCTTTTTCTATGTGAAATTTATTCTATTAATATTTAGTATTTTCTTTTGGAGCTTATAAACACAATATTGTTAACACTTATTAATAACATCTAACATTAACATAAATTTTTTATTGTTTCTTTATGCGTATAACCATCATCCATTTTATTCTCGATTGTACGATTGTATGTTTATTTATTACAAAGCACAGAATTTTCGTAAAAATGTCTCTGCGCTGTACATTTCCTTTACATTCAAATAATGTGAATCAATTACACGTGACCATATCATGTTATAGCAGCTGATACGTTAAAAGTACATATCAATAAATATCGTATCATACGATATCGTACGATATCATGCGTGGTATTTCTGAACTATATCAACACACTAATTCAGATTTGCGTTTACAATTCATTCGGTGTAACGTTACGTTCAATGTCAGCCACAATACGTCAATAATCTAATTTAAAGACAATCGTCAGTGCAGTATAATACGATCTTTCTTATGTTTGACTTGTTATTGTGTTATATTGTTTCTTTTTTGTCGGAAATTAATATTTTAACTTGTAAAATAAAGGAAAAAAAATTCTCAAATAAAATGTTACTTAATAAAGAATAAAAATAGATAGTTATTTTCAAGAAATAAGATATTGTTTTCCATCACAATATAATAATTTTCTTGTAATAAAACAATTTTCTTTCTTACATAATGTTTTAATTTAAAATATCTAAAAAAAGTCATAACATAATTAAATAAATTTTATCTCATAAACAATAATTACAAGGTATATATCCAGAATTTCTATTATTATATGTATAAAGACATGTTATTAAATATAATTAAAGTTTTAAATATAATTCGTAAAAAATGACAAGTATATAACAGATAATCTATTAATCTATTAATAATCTATTAATTTAGAAGTAAAAACCAGATGAAAAAATTGCAAATTATATTTTTAGCTGCAATAATAATAGCAATTATATATAAATTGATTGTTATTTAAAGAAAGTCATTTGTCTGTTTCAGAAATATAATAGTTGGCAAAATAGCAAGAGATAAGTGATATTTTGTTTTAAGAAACAAATTTAGTGCATAATAAAAACATTGTCGTATTGTGAAACAAATATTAAGTATTTTCCGATAAACTGAAAACTATCTTTAGCGATAACTATTAGAGACATTGTTATCTCAAAGTAAACGAATTGTCGAGTGCGAGCTTGAACGAAGAACGAAGTACACGCGCGCGGAAGGAAATAGCTTTAAAAATACTAGTCCAAATATTTGAGACGGCCTAAATATTAATAAGAAAATAATTTGCTTTGATAAAGTAATTAAGTGTAGATAATTAAATTTGTCTTTTAATTTTATACGATATTCATATTAAAGTATTAAGATAGTGAGATTGTGATTTTGACGAGAACACAGCGATCGACAAAATGCATTCCATACGCGCTCATCACTCGTTAAGTAAGCACAGAAGTGTTTTACAAATATGGAAGATCGCTGCAAGACACTTCGCCACAGATGTAGAATACAGACCAATCAGGAGTGTCCTCGTCGCCAATCGAGGTAAATAAATTAAGTATATAGATTAAGTATTTAAAAAAAAAAATAATAAACATTAAAGTCTCTCCTTAATGAGATTTGTAATATAAATTTTTTTTCTCAATAAATTAAAAAATGTATTATTGCATTATACGTACAAAGTAATAATATTATCTTTATACACAAATATAATATATTTATGTATATCACAAATCAACATTTTAAATTTACAATTATTGCTGTGCAGTTTTCATTTCTATAATTTTTTTACAACAGAACGTGTATGCATATATATGTATATATATATATATATATATATATATATATATATATTCTATGCATTATAATTATTGATTATTATAAGAAAATTAGTTTTATATAAGTAAACAAATTTCAAAAGATCTTATAAGAAAGAAGAAACTTATCTTGTGTAATAGATAAAATGCAGACATGTCTTATTACAAAATTTTTCTCGATAACATCATAGATTCATTAACAGATTTGTTAGATATTTACTGTAGAAATTTGTAGCATCTATAGAAATAGATAGTAAAGATATTTACTATTATCTATTTTAGCGCAAATAATTGTCTGCAAAGTTTAAATCTGCTTTTATTCTGTTATATTTTCGCGGTGTTCTATTTGCATAATTGATGTAATAATAATTATAAATTTGTTATTATAAATATTATAAATTATAAAAAAGCATTATCATGGTTTGCAAATAATTGTAAATAAGATTTGCACTGTAAACATTGCTTGAATACAATTGAAATTAATGAATGTTAGGAATTTGCTCATTTTTAGAACAAGATTATGTGATTAATCAAGAGCAAGAGCAGTATTCCTGATATAGAAGTATGAAATGATTTAAACATCGCGGGAATCTAGCACATTGCTAGATACTCCGCTTAATTAATCTGTATCTTATAACACGTGTACTACGCGTGTTGTGTGCGTGAATTTCACATAAGAAATGAATGATAGTTTATTATCCCGAAAAGTTATAAAAATAGATTTGATTTTTATTTATTAATTTTTATTCATTATTATAATAAAAATATAAAACAAAATCAATAAAAAAATAATACGTTTTAAATTCCTCCTCTGTATCCGACTTCTTATAATTATATTTGAAATTTTGAATGAATTTAATAATGTTATAGGAGAAATCGCCATTCGCGTGTTTCGTGCCTGCTCGGAGCTCGGTATTCGCTCCGTAGCGATTTATTCGGAGCAAGATAAAATGCAAATGCACCGGCAGAAAGCGGACGAAGGTTACTTAGTAGGCAAAGGATTACCTCCGGTTCAAGCTTACCTGAACATCCCCGAGATCATTCAAGTTGCCAAGGAGAACAACATCGATGCCATACATCCTGGTTATGGGTTTCTGTCAGAGAGATCGGATTTTGCTCAAGCGGTGACTGATGCTGGCATTAGATTTATCGGACCTAGTCCTAAAGTTGTTCAGCAAATGGGAGATAAGGTATTTTAATCCTTAATTTCACAATATTCCATATCATTGATTCTGCAAATACTCGTAGTTCTCCAAAAATTCTTGAGCCAGAAGTCAAAAGTATGGTATGTACATCCAATCGATAGGTGGCTGCTAGACAAGCCGCAATTCAAGCGGGGGTGCCCATCGTTCCAGGAACAGATGGACCGGTAACGACTTCCGACGAGGCGATAGAATTCTGCATGAAACATGGACTTCCGGTTATCTTTAAGGCAGCGTATGGAGGTGGAGGACGAGGTAAATTTATAATTTTAAATATTAAGAGTCAATATTTCGTTTTTCTATCTAAATATTTATAGTACTTTATAAAGTAATTCATAGAAACTTTTTTCAAAGATTTCATAAAAATCTTGATTATACTTTAGATTTTAAGATAGAAGCTTATATTTAAATCTTAATTAATTGATTAAATCTTAAATAACTCAAGTCTTTTCCTCGCTTCATTAAAATAAACAGTGCTTATATAAGTTAATTGTGTTAACTCTTATTTTATGAAACAAGACAATTATGTTACTCGCCGATCATCATTAAAAGCATTTTAAAGAGAGAATATAGGAAACATATAATATGTAAAATACGTTTTAAAACTATTATTACTCAAGCTGTCATAATATATCGCTCTAAGTTAGCAATAAAGTCTTCTCTTGCTAAAAAGTGTTATTTTTCCTTTAAAACTATTATTTTAAAAGTAATTCAATGTTTTGACATTATTTGATTTAGCATATCAGATTTAATTTCAAAAAGTATTATTTGGTAATTATTCATTAAAATTATTAATATAGTAATCCATAAAAACTAGAAATAAATTAAAAAAATAAAATTATGTAATAAATTATTGCTCTATTAGAAACATAATTAACATAATAATGCATATAAATCATATAAACGAAAAATGTATCTTCTAATATATAATGTATGAGTGTATTGAAAACGCAATTCGTTCCTTTTTGAATAATGTGAAAACCATTTACACACAACATGCGGTTACAATAGATTATTTAATGATAATGGCACAATAAATTTGCATATTTTACAATTCAAGAAGAACAAATAATATTTGACTAATAGATATTTAAAAACCTGTTATTAATCAAATACTACTTGTTCAAATATCTATGCAAAATGCATAATGAAAAATCAAAATATATATTGTAAATGGTAAATTAAAAATATTCTTTTTTCTTAAGTAAAGAGTAACATTAGTAATAAATTTCCCTTATAATGTTCACACTAGTTAAATAAAACAAATATAACATTAAAAATAATAAACTTTGATTTTATCTGCTTTTTAAGAAATACATTTTATAAAATATTTTAATGTTTTTAATATATTTATATTGTAAAATTGTTCTAAAAAATTTTATTATTACGTAGGTATGAGAGTCGTAAGACAAATGGAAGAGGTCCGTGAGATGTTCGATCGTGCATCTTCCGAAGCCGCGGCCGCTTTTGGAAATGGCGCGATGTTTATCGAGAAATTCATCGAAAGACCACGTCATATTGAAGTTCAATTACTTGGGGACCACGCTGGCAATGTCGTGCATTTATATGAACGCGATTGTTCTGTGCAACGTCGTCACCAAAAGGTCAGCAAATCGATTAATTTTAATTTAATGTTGATAATAATCAATTAATCGATTACTTGTGCATTAGCCATTGATGTTGTAATATTTTTGGCAATATTTGTCATTTTTTATATATTGAAATATATATTAATTTTTTTATATATTGAAATATAATATGAGTTTTTTATTCTTATTTTATAAAAAAATATTTATCTGTATTCGCAGTCGGGTTTGTATAAACTAAAAAAAAATCTAATAATTTAAATAGTGACTTAAAAAAATATCATTTACTAATATCTTATCAAGTCTTTTAGTAGTCCTTGTAAGTTAACTAACTTATATTTAAAAATAGAGCAAGATTATTCGATTACGAGCATTTTAAAAAGATACAAGAAATAGGTAAATATCATACAAAATATATTTTAAAATTATTATTGCTCAAGCTATTATAATATATCATCTTGAGTTAGCAATTTTCTCCTGTGAGCAAATTATGAATTTTTTACAAGGCTTCTTCAAGGATGAATACAAGGCAAGTCATACATTCTCTGTGACTGTCTTGTTCGAAATAGGGACAATATATATAACACAATCGCATAGGATTCATATTTAAAATCGTCCATAAGTATATATAAAGTAGTTTTTTAAAATTAATTATTTTATAAAATTCAAATTCAACGTCCGATTTCATTTTTGACTTACGAATAAAAATAATTTTCTCGTAAAATTTGCAGGTAGTCGAAATCGCGCCAGCTCCATCACTATCAACCAAGATTCGTGATAAAATGACCGAATATGCAGTTAAATTGGCAAAACACGTTGGTTATGCAAATGCCGGTACTGTGGAATTCTTAGTCGACGAATCTGGAAATTTTTACTTTATTGAAGTCAACGCTAGATTACAAGTTGAACATACAGTAACCGAGGAAATAACTGGGTAATGAGATACATATAAAAATGATAAATATATTTTTCTTACATTTTTTCTATCCTCTCTTTCAATCATCTCTCTTCTACTTTTTTTCTTTTTAATAATTAAATATACATATATCATTATAATATATAATTAATATATAATATGTATAATTATAATATATAATTAATTGTAATATTAGATATGTAGTCATTTGTTTTACGCAGATATCATATCATCTTTTTTTATTCTTTCAGAATCGATCTTGTGCAATCTCAAATTCGAATCGCCGAAGGCATGACGTTACCGGAGCTTGGCATGACTCAAGAAAAAATTACGCCTCAAGGATTCGCGATCCAATGCCGAGTGACTACGGAAGATCCAGCTAAGAACTTCCAACCGGATACTGGAAGAATAGAAGTCTTTCGTTCTGGCGAAGGCATGGGTATCCGATTGGACGGAGCTTCCGCGTTCGCGGGAGCTATAATCTCGCCATATTATGATTCGCTTCTCGTTAAGGTAAATTAAGAAATATAAAATAATTATAATATTACCAGATACATCTTATTTTTAATGTTAATAACAAATCATACATAAATGTTTTGTGTAGAGATATTTCTTTCATAAGATTATAGTCTATTAAAATAATTAAAAGAAAATATTATTTTTTAAATAAAATTTATTCTAATAGATAATTTAATATTGGATATTTAGTTCATATTTAAATAATTTGATTTTATCAATTACATAACACGTAGATTAATTAATTTTTATCATCTGAACAGTTTTACAATATTTTTAATGATAATATTATTATTTGCTTGGAAAATTTTTAGGCATATTTATATGAACAATTTTTCACTTAAAAGCAAAATATATAAGTACAAAAAGATTTTACATTTGAAAAATATAAATATTATTTTTTGTTTTTCCTCAGGTAATCGCTCATTCCGGTGATCTTCAATCATCTTGCGCAAAGATGAATCGAGCCCTTCGTGAATTCCGTGTGCGCGGAGTAAAGACAAATATCCCTTTTCTATTAAATGTTTTGGAAAATCAAAAGTTTCTCAACGGTATTGTCGATACGTACTTCATCGACGAGCATCCTCAGCTTTTTCAATTACAGCCCAGCCAGAATCGAGCGCAGAAGTTACTAAATTATCTCGGTTCGGTTTTAGTGAACGGTCCAAGTACACCATTAGCTACTCAGCTGAAACCAGCAGACATCAAACCGCATATTCCACAGATTGCTCTAGGTATATGATTGCTTACTAACGGATATAGCAATAATCTGGGATAATAAAAGATCCCAAACATCATTTTTGGATTTATATCCAAATATGACATATATGCACTTCAATTCAGTTTAATTATATGCGATGCAATTCCCATTAAAATACTTCTTAAGATTAATCATAAGATACAAACATTCGAATCCAAACCTTATTATAAATTTCGACCTTATAAACATTTGATCCATTATGTGACGAAATTACTAGCCATAATTAGAAACAAAGTCGTGCAGAAGATGTGCCTTCACGGATCAGCAAAACAGGGGTTGTATTTTTTTCTTCTTTTTTTAAGAATAGGATGTCTATTAATTCTTTGATTAATTAATTAACATTGTTATGTGAATGTTGTTACACAGGTTAATTTTTAAATATTTAAGAATCACTGAAGATATAATATTTTTTGAGGCGCTATGATTCTAATAATTCGTTAACAAATAAATAAGAAAAATTGATATAGAAAATATTTTCACACTCTCACATACTATGCATTATGTGCTATGTTATATAATAAAACTCTCATTTAATATTTTTATAAATTTACACAAGAGTATCTTTCTGTCAAATTTAATATAATGTTGCATATTAATATATTTCTTAAATTAATTTTTAATTAACGTACTTTTTTATTCTTTTTAATGAAAGTAAACAATAAGGAACGTATGACAAATTTACAAAAGAAATAATAAACATCCTTTTTGCTTATCAATGACAATTCGTTGCTGCTTTTTTTGCTGGGTTTACAGGAAACACTCTATTAAAGCGTTATATCAAAGATCTTTATGTTATATCTTCCCTTCTGGTGTGTTCTTGTCTCTAAATTCAAGTGTGATTATTGCACCGCGCTGCATTAAATACACTGCACACATTGTGCGAATCAATAAATGGGGTCACGAAACTTTTTCGTCTCTATTTATCATCATTACATTAATAACATAATAATAATAATGATAATGATAATGATAATGATAATGATAATAACAATAATAATAACAATAATAATAATAAGAAAGCATGCTGTTTTCCCTCGTTAGTAATTAATAATAATAATTTTCAATATCTCATCCTCTGCATAATTAAGAAAAAAGTACATTAATAATTAAGATGTTATTAATATACAGTATGCCTTCACAAGTGGGACAAATATCGAATAAATTAAAATAAATCATGAAAATCTTCTATTTAAAGATTTATCATTATGTAATGACTTACAATTTTGGATATATTAATTTCCTTCTCATACACACTTCACTGTTTATAGCATGCTTTTATTTTTTTGTTTGGCAATTTTTTTAGACTTTGCTAAGCTTGCAGCTGCAGAAGAGACCAAAGATCTCGATGCTCCAGGTATGGTTACAATATTATATCATGCTTTTCTTTAGCTTATATTATATTAAAATCCAGTATTGTGCAGATTGAGAAGATAAACTGTGAGACTATAGGTATAGTATAACAAAGCAAAATTTTATTTTTTTATTTGTTCTTTTTTTTCCAGATTGGCGAAATTGTATTTATCGAAATTTTTTTTTTATTGATTTATTTTTTATCGAATTTAACAAATTTAGCAAAATTTAATATACTGGATAAGATAATAAGAAATGAATTGTTGTTAATAAATGCTATTAATAATAATATAAATAATGTAAATATGTATTGCTATAATATATTAAAAAATGTAAATTCATAATAATATTAATTTATAAATGGACTACGTTTGCCTCTTTATAATTATAAATTTTGATTTATATTTTTAATTTTTTTGATTTAATTTTTATTTATATTTTTAATTATATTTATTTTTATTAAATATCTTTCTTTTATGGTTATATTTTAAACATTTTGAAGCATTTCTTTGAATAAAAAATTATGTCTCTCTCTAATCATATTATATACAATAATATTTAATAACTATGTACAATAATATTTAAAATAAGGATTTTTACACATTCGATATTTTTATGCATATAATTGCAAAAAAGAATCAATAAAAAATAATCGATATAAATATAGATAATTAATATTCATAAAGATTTTATATAATTCCATATTGAAGTAATAATTATAAACATATTTATTTCATAAATAATTTATTTTTTATTGACTCCTTTTTAATCAACAATAAATATCGATAATCTATCGCTTTTAGAAATATTTTTTCGCGCTTATTAACAATAGCACGTATCAATTAACAATCCATTCCTTTCAAAAGAATATCAAATTGATTCTCTTCTGCGCTTTTTTCCAGATGTTTTGGATCCTCCGAAAGGATTCCGTCACATTTACAAGCAGCAAGGTCCAGAAGCTTTCGCCAAGGCTATTAGACAACACAAAGGTCTTCTTTTAATGGACACTACATTCCGCGATGCGCATCAATCTCTTCTGGCAACTCGCGTCCGATCGCACGATCTGCTAACGATCTCTCCATTTGTCGCACACAAATTCAACAACCTCTATTCGTTGGAGAACTGGGGCGGCGCGACTTTTGATGTGGCCTTGAGGTTTCTCCATGAGTGTCCTTGGGAACGGTTGGAGGACATGCGCAAGGCCATCCCCAATATCCCGTTCCAAATGTTGTTAAGAGGTGCCAATGCTGTCGGATACACAAACTACCCTGACAACGTGGTCTTTAAGTTCTGTGAATTGGCTGTGAAAACTGGCATGGATATCTTCAGAGTATTCGACTCACTCAATTATCTGCCAAATCTTATCGTTGGTGAGTTTGGAGAAATTTAATTATAATATGAATTAATAATAAAATATATTATCCAAAAAAAATATTTTTACTCTAATTTAACATATTACAAAATCGATCTATCATGTCGGAGAGTTTTCTCATAAGAATTTTCTTATTAAATTCGAGTTCTTCTTCAGGTATGAATGCCGCTGGAAATGCCGGAGGTATCGTTGAAGCGGCAATTTCCTATACGGGCGATGTGAGCGACCCTAATCGTACAAAGTACAATTTGAAATATTATACCGATTTGGCGGATGAGTTGGTCAAAGCAGGCACACATGTACTGGGGATCAAGGATATGGCCGGATTGCTCAAGCCAAGAGCAGCCGAGATATTGATTGACGCGATCAGGCAGAAGCATCCGGATATACCTTTACATATACATACACATGACACTGCTGGAGCCGGAGTAGCCTCCATGTTAGCCTGTGCAAAAAGCGGTGCCGACGTTGTAGATGTTGCTGTTGACAGTATGTCCGGCATGACTAGTCAACCTTCTATGGGCGCTATTGTTGCTTGCCTTCAAGGTATATTTAAAAAAAAAAAACAATTTTTATTTCCTTTATTAACTACTAATAATTTTTTATTTAACTGCACATGTAGATAAATTTTGATTTAATTTTAAATGTGAAAATTGCATCAATTATACTTATTATTTAAATAGAGAGTCACTATAAATTTATTAATAATAAAAATACATACATATATATTATAATAAACATATATTATAATAAATATGCACACATATATTACAATAAAAATGCAATATATATATTATAAATTATAATATAATGTACTAATAATTAATATTAATACATATATACATCAAAATTAAGTTAAAATTAAAATTAATAAAATTTTTAATTAATATGATAGGAACGGATATTGACACAAAACTGGATCTCCCTGACATCTCGGAATATTCCGCATATTGGGAACAAACGAGAACGCTCTATGCACCCTTCGAGTGCACAACAACGATGAGATCTGGAAACGCGGACGTTTATCTCAATGAAATTCCCGGTGGACAATATACAAATTTGCAATTCCAAGCTTACTCGCTCGGTTTAGGCGAGTTTTTCGAAGACGTGAAGAAAGCGTATAGGCAAGCCAATCTCTTGCTCGGCGACATCATTAAAGTCACGCCAAGTTCTAAAGTTGTCGGTGATTTGGCACAATTTATGGTTCAAAATAAACTGACAGCTGATGACGTACTGAAGAGAGCGGAAGAATTATCGTTTCCTAAATCGGTGGTCGAGTTTCTTCAAGGCGCTATTGGTGAACCTCATGGAGGATTCCCTGAGCCATTGAGGTAAGAATATTTTGCGCGAACATAATGCATCTCAAATGTTTATCTTGCGATGTATTGAATTTAACTTGCATTCGTAATGTCTTCAGATCGAAGGTTCTTAAGGACATGCCACGCGTGCAGGGTAGACCAGGCGCGAGTTTACCACCACTTGACTTTGCCGCTTTGACGAAGGAGTTGAAAGAATCGCATCCACATGTCAGCGAAAAGGATGTCATGTCGGCCGCGCTTTATCCTAAAGTAACGAAGGACTATTTGAATTTCAAAGAACAATTTGGTCCGGTAGACAAATTGGAGACCAGAGTCTTCCTTACGGGACCTAAAGTGGGTGAAGTATTTGATGTCACAATTGAAAAAGGTAAAACTCTTGGTATCAAAACTCTTGCGGTTGCCGAAGATCTTACGAAGAATGGCGAACGTGAAGTATTCTTCGAGATGAACGGTCAGCTGAGGTCTGTGTTTATCAAGGATAAAGAGGCTGTCAAGGTAAATGCAAACTTTCGACATTATTTTATACATCGTCATTTTATAAAATATTATAATTGAATTATAATTAAGATAAAACTAAAGATAATAATTACAATGAAATTAAAATAAAATTATCTAAAAAGTTAAGCTAGAAAAAAGATTACCATCAAGATCAAAATTAAAATAAGATGGTAGTCAAATTAATATTCAATATCAATTTTAAACAAAGTACAATTTGCATTTTGTTTATTCTCTGCAGGAACTGCATGTGCATCCGAAAGCGGTGAAAGGTGACAACAACCAACTAGGGGCACCGATGCCCGGTGAAGTGATTGATATCAGAGTAAAAATAGGCGATACTGTAGAAAAAGGTGCACCCTTAGTCGTATTATCTGCCATGAAAATGGAGATGGTCGTACAGGCGCCGAGAGCAGGAAAAATCAAGAGTCTTGACATCAGCTTGAATATGAGACTTGAAGGAGATGATCTCATCTTAACATTCGAATAAACTTTCGACAAAAATGTTCCAAATCATTGTTGCAAGTCTTCTTCCCATAAAGATGGCATAAAATATTTATTGCAAAAACTGTTGTAAACTGCTTGCTTCGGTAAGATATGATGAAATCTTTGCCATGCGGAAATGAATCGAGTTTTTCTTTGTTAAATGCTACTTTAAAATTCTGTATATAGTTATAATTTTGTTCAAAATTATCAATTACTACATATATTTAAATAATCAAGTGTGGACATATATATGTATATTTTTCGAAATATTTAGGAGTTCCGGTTTGGCGGACCCTGTATCATAAACAAATCTTTACATACATTGAAAAATTCTTGATAATGATTACATTTATTTGACTTTTATATATTATAAAATTACATATTATAGAAGATGTCAATACATTAAACTAATTAAACAATCAATACAATTAAAACTATGGTCCACTTTTAATTAAACAAAAATTTCATGAAAAACAAATTATTTCCTCTAATCGTTTTCATTTCTAAAAAAATTTGTTATAATTTTTAAAATAATTCATTTTTATTTCTTAAAAAATCTATATTTAGCTTTATTTAAAATAAAATTCAAATATTTTGTATATATTATTTGTACGGAGCAAATGGCCAATATGATTAATGTGATATAATCCAACGAAACTGCTAAAAGATCAATTAATCAATTAATACCAAATATAATATATAGAGCACTCATTTAAGAAAATTTAGGAACTTGAAAAATTCAATAACAAAATTATTACAAACTTTTCAATATAATACATTTTTCAAGACTTTTGTATAAAATAACTGCAATTGATGAATTACTTGTTAAAAATTTGTAAGAATTTCACATTTGATTATACAAAAAGATGTACATTATATATATACTTTTTTTATACATTTTAAAATGAAAACATAAATATATATAAAAGTAGATTTTTAAGAAAAATACAGTTGCGATCAATTTTAAATAAAATCGATGCATTTCAAAAGAAAAAGAATATTGACTATAAAAATTATAAAAACTTCTTAAGCTCGATTATTTTCAGTACATCGATATCAATATGCATATTTTATATAAATTAATTGCATCGACATAATTAATCTGTTTATGATGAACAATGTACAAAAAAACAAAAAAAAGATCAAACACCTTCTTGTTAGTGTTCAGATTTTATATTAATTGTAGCGTGTATAATATAAGCGATTAGCCTGGTAATTTAATTACGATAACTCAAGCTAAGCCTTCATGAATGATTTAGCAACTGTATAGAAAAAACTTATTCAGGGAATAAAGACAAGAATATTTCTGAAAAAGCTTGTCTTTGTCTTCTAGATCAAGATCAAATATTATGTCTTTTGATAAAAAAGAAATCATCGATTGTAAAAATTATCTTTAACAGAATTATCTTTAAAAGAGAGAATAATAAATAAGATATATATATCCATGTTCTATAATTTTATAATTTCCTCTTCACACATTATTTTAATCAAATTATTATCAAAAAAAAGATATGTATATTGTGATATATTAATACGTGCTATATTAAAAAGAATAGAAAATAAATCTCTGTCTCTCTCTCTCTCTCTCTCTCTCTCTATATATATATATATATATATATATATATATATATATATATAATTACTATGAACATTTTCTTACAAGAGAATGTAACATATTGACAACATATCCTTCCTCCGTTCATAAAGTTAAGAAAGTATTATATATTACTTATAATCTGTTTTAAATTATTTTAAAATAATTTGTTTTATATTTTTAATTAGAATATATATACGTTTTTTTTGAAGATAGAAAACACATGCTTCACAATCAATTCAATTACCTTTAAAGTCTGAAAATGTTTTAAAAATAAAATAATATATTAATAATATATATTTAGATATTTATTATATTAGAGTTCTTATACTGTTAACAATCACAAATTTTTAAAACATTTTTAATTGTTTCGTTAATTTCTTTCTAATTCTATTACTATTAAATTATTTTATTTTATAATTTTACTCTAATAAATATCTCAATGTTAACTCCGATATAATATATTGCACATATAAATATAATTTCAATTTAACACTTTATCAATGAGATAAATACTTTAAATATCTAATAAATACTTCTGCCTAAAAAACTCTTTTATAATAAAGAAGAACTAATCACTAAGGAAGTAATAACTAATCACTAAGGAAGTAAGAAGACAGGATTTTAGGGTACAAATAGAAAGCTTTAAATATTCTGTAAAATTTGAAGCTTAGTGCATCCATTTATTGTAATAACCCATCATATACTCGAAAGGAGAAGAAGTTTTCATGACTCTGCAAATATGCGAAAACGTGGCAATAAACTTGTGGATCTTTAAGTCTGGGCGTATACAGCTCATAAATGACAATGGTAAGAGACTGTCACCGAACGCCGACAAATATATATATATATATATATATATATATATATATATGTATATATGTATATATATTATATGTATATATATAAAACATTGTATAAGTTAACATTTCTGACTAAACTCTTATCTGGGTATCGAATTCGATACAATATAATTACAATATATCTGTATAATAAATATGAAATATTGATATATATGTATATGTTTATATATTTTATATATGTATATATATATATATTATATATATATATATATATATATATATATATAATCGTAATATTTTTGCTCCGATATATTTAGCAATATCTTGTCTGAACGATAAAAAGAATCTTTTTTTTTTTCAATATTTTTATCTTTTGATAAGATTTCGCGAGATTACTTGCTAAGAAGATCGGTCCCAAATTTCCCACGCGTTGCGCGTCCATTAAAAGAAACCTGGTTTCCATCATAGAGACTGCGTTGTCGCAGTCGCATGTAATTTATGCTAAAGCGATTTTCGGTGACTATAGATATTTCGAGACCGTAGATTTTTCCGCTTATAAATACTTACATTGGTAGTAACATGATACATGCAAACTAGAGATAAACATGTGTCGATGAGAAAGACAGAGTGAACTAGTGAGATATTTTGGAAGGCAAAAAGTGGGCGAATTCTTAAAACTATCGGCCCGATCGGTGAATTCTTTCACGAATAATTGGCATATTCATGAAAATAATTATGGCATCAACGCGACGAATCGATAGTTTGATACTAATTGCTTGTTGATAAACTTCCTTATTACATTCGAATAAAATAGTTAAAGCTAATAAGTTGAAATCGAAAGCGGTATCGCGTAAAGAATGAGTTGCGTACTACACACACACATATTATCATTATTATTAAATAACATAAACATGAGGGAAATAAGTTTACGACGCATAAAGGCTGAACTTTCAAGGCTGCCGTATCTGATAAAATGTGCATAACACGCGATTTAACCCTTTGCGTTCCAAGGTTACCACCATGACCATAGATAACAAGCACTTATATTGCACTCCGTTGCAATCCAAGCCGTTTGGCTATTCTGGTATATGAAGGTCACTCTATAATTGCGAGCACATTTAAATGTGTGTACTTCATACTATGCTCGAATTCGTAGGGTGAATTTCATTCATTATAAATGAGAGTTAACCGTTAATCCACAAGAATAAATGTTTATAATAATCCAAATGTTTATAATAATATATAATATAAAGATAGTATATCAAATAATCAATAAATTGAAAAAAATATTTTATATCTCGATATATAGAATCGAAAAATGATATTATATCTTATACTAGTAATAGAGATAAATAATATTACATTTTAAGAGAATGCTAATTTTACTTCCAGTACAAGTGAAGAATTTAAAATGTTTTCGTTGTAAAATTTATTTCTATCATCACTAAAGCAACATACGTTCGTTGAATCAACAGGTTCTTCGATGTTAGTAATTGGTCGCGTGACGATATCGCATATTCATTTAAGTCAATACGCCAATATAGGGAAGCTCAACAAGCAAATATATCTCTTAAGAATCGACTTTTAGTACAAACAGTAGATAAGTATAGCGTAGGTATTCAAAGTAGAAAGTGTAAAGTATCACAAGAATTACAATAATCGTAATAATTACATTACGTCGCAAAGATTAAGTTCTTGACCTTATTACATCGATCGCACAGTAATTATAAGCGCTTTAATCGCATCCCGCGCTTCGAACACGCGCCGATAGACAAAGGGATCTCTATCAAGTCGGATAACTCTCTGTAAATACATCAGTCTTTGACACAATAATTATAATAACACCACATGACAGAATAAAGCCGTGAGAGAAAGATCGTCTTATGGCATGAAGACAAAAGTACTTACATAAAATACGACTTGTATTTAGAACGTGGTCGAATGTAATGTGCTGCATTGCCGGAGGAGGATATCTCTCCGGTAAATTCTGCGAAAGAGACTTTAATAGAAGAGAGAAAATGGATTGTTTTAATGAAGTCCATTAATATGGTACATAAGCTTATCAAGAAAGTAGAATTGCTCAGCAGAATTGCTTTTTATTCGTGATAAGCCAAATCACTCGATTGAAGAATAAGACGTCAATCCCGTATTGTATTGGAAAAAGTGTGTATTTCTGTTATCGATATACGTAGGTTTTGATTATGAGTAAAATATGAGATTTTTTAAAAATCTACTTATATATCTGGAACCGGGATTTTTTTATGATAAATAATTAATAGTTGCATCGATATTCTTTTTTATATATTTACTGGTCTCATGCTATTCAAAAGTTTATGCGCAATATTTGTGCCGGAATAGTAGAAAGAAAATAATTAATAAAATTCGATAAATTTATCTAAACTCTAAAATGTGTATACAATGTGATAAAATTTAACAAAAATATTGCAACACGACAATAAAATATAATTTCACTAAAATTCTCTCGGTTCCATCTCTCTGAGCGAATTTCGCTCTAATAAAGATACAATTGTAACGATTTTATATTTGAAATTCTGCCAGAATTAGCAGCAATTAACTAACATTATTATCAAATTTCGATCAAATATTTTAGCCCACAAAGGTGCATGCACCAAAACCAATTCCCTTAGGCCATATAATTTATTCCCAATATCGTTAATCAAAGCGTACGCGAACAACACACTATAGCTCACAATTTAAGTCGCTGTGGCTTGCGGTTGAGGCGGCGTCGGCGCCTGTGTGTTAACATTTGGCCTATAAAACCGGTTGACTAATTGTTTCAAACTCATTACAACGCCTAATCCGGTTCCTGGTTCCATGTTGATAAATGAATCGAGATTATCCTTGCATGCTGAAATATTTGAGATGCAACAAATAAATAAAAAAGTGTCATAAATAGATGATACATATATATATACACATACATATATGCTATTTGAGGAATTGTGGCATGATAAAAATCAGAATGATTAAAACAAATAAATATTTTTAAAAAATAGGCTATAAAACAAGCATATTAATTTTGATTACATTTGCGCAAAAGATGTAATTTTAATGCTTTAAGAGTTATATAGAGAATTTTTATAAAATTTCAAAACTTTGTTAGATCTCTCTCTACATACTTGGTGTCGAGATCGGAGGATAATCTGGCGGTGTCTTGATCCATGTGCCATCCTTGCGCTTCATATGATGCCGACTTGATGCGAACTGTTGCAAATATACGCTGGCAGGTACCAGACGGAATCTTCTGTGATATTCAGGCCGCAATGCTTCATCAGATCTGAAGGTTTCGGTGGCATATTTCCAGAAATGTGTAGGGAACGGCAGGGAACTTTCTAAATCGTATACCACTGCCCTTTCATCGGGAGCATAGATGAGAATAGCATGATAGTCCTACACAGACAGGACAATGTATATGTATATGAAACATTATTATGAAATGGATGTGCATTTCCTCGATTAATTATCATGCTTTTGCAATACTAACCCACACGACCAATTTGTCCTCGTCCTTTCCGGCCCGTTGACGCCAAAGGGGAACGCTTCGTCGTGAATTGCTTACGAAAAGAACATGACAATGTTGCAATTCGGAAGGATGCCTAGTCGCTACATCTTGGCAAAGCTTCCATATGTTTTCTTCGCTGAAATTGAGTACATATTCCTCTTCATCTTCGATTAAAAACATACGCTAGTATCCTGATTCGTTTTTTTGCACAAAAATTTGCGGAATAATTCAATATAATTAATAAAATATATAATAGCAAAAATTGAAATAACAGTGTGCTATAAAAATGTATATAAAAATATTCTACAAAGAATATGTTAAAAAGTTCCATAGGATCATATCATATTTCATATCATATCAGTACATAAAATCAAAATCAATATTAAGCAAAGTGTTTAGGGTAAAATAAAAAAGTAATGTAACATATATTATTATTAAATAATAATAGGAAAGTATAATAAATATCAATTAAAAATTTGTCATATATCATAAAATAGAACACAATTCATTGTTTATATTATATGTATTAACAGACAAGAAAATATCAAAGAGAAATATAAATATCAATCTTCATTTGATAGCATTTACCTTTTCAAAAAAGTTAAGAAAAGATTTTTATATTTAATTATTTTTTTCTATATAATGGCCTATAAAAAACATGGCTTGATAAAATGAAAAATAAAATATATAAATCATATACGTGTTTTATAGAAAACAAAGTCAAATTAAAAATTCATGAACAAACATATTTATAAACAGCATACAACTCTGAAATATATCCAGCAGAAGTGTGATAAAAATAATAATGAAATTCTAATTGCAACATATAATGTAAAATTCAATCTGTTGATTTAAAAATTAGTTTAAAAAGATTGTCGAAAACGTAGTGCATAGATTAATCTAGTTTTAGCAGATTACGTGCTCCTTGCAATTATAAGAAAAAGGAAATCAACATGAATGCGTTCGTGCAAGCAGTTTAACACAATATACCTCGCGTGCCGCTTTATGCGCATTATCTATCGCATACATTATTAATTGTAACAAAAGCGAGCTCGTATATTCGCACTACTTAAATAGAACGTAAACGAGCCGCGAAACGATATAGCATCGGCGTGCCTTGAACCAGTGACTCATTACTCCAAAATCCATTTCACGGAAAATAATTGGGGCAAAATACACAAAATACGAATAAGCAGTCGCAAAAAATTCGTCTGTTGATATATATATATTTAATTAATTCATTTGCATTCATTTTTTAACAGATTGCAACATTTTTTAAACAGATTATTTGTAACGAATACATCTGTACCTATTAAAATAATTAAAATGAATTTTAAAATTATATATTTCTATATTAAACGAATTTTTAATAAATATATCATTTTTTATGTATATATATATATATATATATATATATATATATATATATATCTGTAAAAAATGCATAAGAAAAATTAATTTACACATTTTTATTCTTAATATATCGTGATATAAAATGCATAGCTGTATATTAAAATTAATGTATTTCTCGCAAAAATAATTTTTATAAATCGAGATTATTCATCATAAATCACAATTGATGAGATAAAAGTGCAAAATAAAATTTCCATTAAATTATTTACCATGACGTTATGCTTTTCTATTATTAAATATCAAAGCTACTGCTCGGTTGTCTATGTTTTCACTGCATATTCGGTCAATTTACATTTAAATATATCATCGGAAGACGCTCATTTTTAAAGAGAAGGCTAAGTCTAATTCATCTGTATATTTATCGTTTCGAATTGCACGCCGCGCGCATAGGATACTGCAAAGATGGCGGCGAACTCGCTCGCGGCTGTCTGCAACGTATCGATCGGAGCACGGTGCATGCCGCAATACGACGCGTTTATTTGTCCGAGGATCGATCGGCGCCCCGGGGCACGCCATGATTGACCGCAAACGTCGGCCGGGTACTCACCAGTAACAGCTCGTGTTCACGCAATCGGACGCCTTCGTGAACAGCGGCACCAGGGGCTTAGCGTTCCCGGTCACGCGAGGTTCCACGGCCATATCCTGTTGTGCTCGCTTCTACCGTATGCTTCTGTCGAACGCGGGGACGAGATTGCGACGCGAATCGAGACGCACAAACACACACCCGCGCGCGCGCGCGCGTTAAGCGGACCACGCGCACTTCGCGAGCGCGTTCATAACGAAGCGTCAAAAGTGACTGCGTCTCACTCGACGAATCTTCCTCAGCCGAGATGCGCACATCCGACTGCCCGGAGCATTGTTTGATTACTGCACCATCAGTGCGGCTCGGGGGCAGTGTGTCCCCAGATCAAGAAGACCCCACCACTCCGCGGTATATCTAGGGACCTGCGCAATCGACCGTCGTTTTGACAGATGCGCCGAGACGCAAAATATCTCTCCGGGACTAAATGATTTTTTTCATAGTTTTGTTAAATTATAAATTATTTATACTATATTGATGAAGAGCGTATATTATTAAGAGTATTAATTATTGTCTGTGTCAAGTGTCAAATTATTTAAAAACTGCCCTCCCTCTCTCTCTCTCGCTATGTTAATAAAATATATAATGTTCATGTAATAAATATAAAAAAATAATTTATGTTGAATAAAATATGTTCAATTTCTTCATTTCAATCAAAATATATATCAATAATATTTTTAAGTAAAAAGAGAAAAATGAGTTTAAGAATATAATAATGTATAGAATTAATAATACAATTTTTAATTCGATTATTCGAATCAAGCCAAGAATATATTTGCTCGAATATATTTTGAATATTTGTACTCTTTTAAATAAATCGGGAAATAATTTTTTATTTTATTTCTATTCTATTCTATTATTTTTACTATCATTCATTATAATTATTTAACTGATAAAGATATCTCTTTTAACTTTTTAAAATTCACGTCGCTTTTGTGATGAGTCTAGCAATACTATTTTTGTAATAAAATATTTACATGATAAAAAACTAATTGAATAACTCTGTTCATATATTTTCGTAGTTTTTTGTTTGATTTGATATAACATTGCGTAAACATGTTGCATGCATATGCGTCTATATGAATAATATGAAAATAAAGACAAATAAAATGTAATAATTTGTTATATTTTTCGCAATTGTATGTCAAACTATTATTGCTGGGAAAAATATATTCAATTTATTACGATTTCTCATTAATAATTTAATGTAATAAATTTCATTTTGCGTTAAATAGTTTCGTTTATATAACGTGAAAAAGTTAGTTTTTTATATAATAGTATATAACATTACATATTATATCATTTTATATTGATGTTACCTAACTTAATGAATAAAATGAACATTTAAGAGACAATAATAAAAGTTTGCTTTTTTGTTAATTGTAAAAAAGAATTATATAATATTTATCCACACAAGTCGCACAATAAATATCATATAATTCAATATATTTGTATCTAATCTTTACATATAATTAGAACGCAGTGAAATTATTTGTCTGCTAATATTGATAAGGTGAAGACCTTGTACTCTCCGGATATCGCAATCGTGTTTGTCATGCTTATAAAGCTTGTCGCATTCGTTCTGTTTTCCAGTTACCGCGGATTTCGTGTGGAATATAAATTGTCGTGTTTATATACATATTTTATTTTACCTATCAAAGTTACGTAATTAATTGTACAATATACGAGATAATAATAACTAAATAACTAAACATAACTAAATAACTAAAATGGCTATTAATGCTGCGAAAACTGTTCTCAAGCAAGGCAAAACTGCATTATTCATATGCGATGTTCAGGAAAAATTCGTTAAGGCTATACACGAATTCGACAAGATTGTTCAAAATTCAACAAAATTGGTAAATCTATCAAATACGCGTATTAAGTGCTTATAAATTGTGATTTAATATATATAATCATGTGTATAATTTTTATATAGATGTAAATATACATAATTGATGGATTATTTATAGATTGGAAATAATTAAAATTTAATTAATTGAAATTATGCACATATGTGGGAAGGTTATATTATTTTATAGTACTTGTGGTGTAGTTATCTTAGATATTGATTTTTCTTAAACCTGATGATCAAATATGTTGCAATACATTACTATGACAATTGATAATGAGATTGATAATACAATTGATAAATATAATTATTCACAGATCAGTGCTTTGAAGCTTTTGAATGTGCCTATGCTAGTTTCTGAGCAAAATCCAACATCTTTAGGGAAAACCATACCTGAACTTGACATCTCTGGAGCGAAAGGTCCTTTTGCAAAAACTCAATTTAGTATGTATACTCCTGAAGTAAGTACATATATATGTTGTATTCTATATAAAATAATATTATATAATACTAATATAATAATATAAGTAATATATGATATTAGATATAAATATACATTTATTTTGCTTTTTTTAGATTTGTAAGGAGCTTGAAACACTTTGTTGCGGAGGAAAACCAGACTCTATTATACTTATTGGTGTTGAAACACATGTCTGTGTAGAAAATACAGCTATTGACTTGAGACAAAATGGTTACGAAGTTCATACTGTCGCAGATTGTTGTTCTTCACGTACTCAAGAAGATAGATTATTAGCTTTAGAGGTAACACATTATTCTTTCTCAATTTAATATTAGTATTTGTTTATGCATATACATGTTTGTATTATTAATGAGACATATCTTTTTTACAGAGAATGCGAGATATAGGATGTCACATAAGTACTTCTGAGAGTGTTATATTCAAAATTTTACGTGATGCAAAACATGAACAATTCAAAAATATACTGGCTATCATCAAAGCACCAACTTTGTACACAGGATTAGTTTCAGTTTCAAAAATATAAATATTTTTAACAAGTTATCTATATAACAATTATATCAATTATAAATTCTATATCAATATACATCTTTTAAATTTAAGTTAAATACATTTTCTTTTTTATAATTTCTAATACATTTTGTTAGATTGTAATAATGTTAAGCAGTTGTAATTCTAAAATTTAAAACAAAAATATTTTTAACAAAATGTTTTATTTATACAAAGGGATATAAAAACTATACTGTATAATAAGATACATCATAATGTATAATGATAAAGTCACACAATAAACTGAGTTTATTTTCTGTTTATTTTGTGCCTGTTGAACCAAATCCTCCTGTACCTCTATTTGTATCACTTAGGCATTTTACTTCTTCCAATTTGGGATATATGATTCTTTCACATATCAATTGAGCTATACGATCACCTGGTGCAACTTCAAAATCCTCATTGCTATGATTAAACAGTACTACACCAAGATTACCACTGTAACAGAAAATAAAAATAATAACACATGGACTCTAATATTTTTAAAATATATAGAAATATAGAAATATATATAGAAATTATATACGAACCGATAATCTGCATCTATAACACCTGCACCTACATCTAAATGATTTTTCCACGCTAATCCAGATCGTGGTGCAATTCTGCCATATGTACCAAGAGGAACTTCTATTTGTAAATCAGTTTTAACTAATTCCTTGCCATGGGCTGGTATGATATACTTGTATGCACTTTATATAGAAGAAATAGAAAACATTTTAAAATCTTTTATATATAATCATTTTAAATAATTATTTTAATCACTGTTAAGTTATACTACGAGAGAAGTTTTGTAATAATTATCAAACATTATCAAAAAGACATTAAATCAATAATAAATCATAGATGAATTTATTAAATATACTTTGTCTCGAATAGATTTATTATAGGTATATATTAAAGTTTATTAATTTATGACATTTTTAATATTATTTTAAATATCTGCAATAATTGAATAATGAATAAACTGGCATGACATCGTCTGATTAAATTGTTTCTCGCATATTACCTACATAGTGCTTGATAATGATAATGAGTGGTAAAAATTAGCACTCTCTTAAGAGTAATATACCTTCGTAAATCGTATCCTGCCGCATATTCCGATCCTTTTGTCGGCGCAAACGCTTTGTCCGACAATTTCGCGAACTTTAGCGAAATAATTTCAGACTCTGACATAATTATTGTCTGTGAACTGGCTTCTCTGCGAACACGTCACAAATCCTATGCCACACTTTGCTATCTTTGCTTGTCGGTTACCGCCAAAAAATTGGCGGTAAACGGCCACAACCATATTGATCGTTTACAAAAACACATGTATGTGCATCTAGTTACTGTAGAAACTTACTTGTAAATTTATTTAGTTTATAAACTTACTTAATCTGTATCAACCGGCATAATTTGCAAAGCCATGAAGAAAAACGCGACATCCCGGCACGTAAGATAGACACGTTGAGAATAAAATCAATATATAAATATATAGTTATATTTGTAGCCGCGAAATTTAAACGTACCACATATACAAATACAAAGATTTTATTTTACTATAAGAAAGCCGCAAGAAATAAATGTGTAGGACGAAATGTAAGTTAGTAATCCTAGATAATTCATGTCAAAGATGCCAAATTATACATGCAACATTTTACAGAACATAGAAGGAATACGCTGAAAGACATATGTATATATAATATGATTTATGACCTATTGATCAGATGTTAATAGCTATTTAATAGCATGTTGATAACGCATATTATGAATTGCTGTAAACACGCTTGAATTGCTGTAAACACGCTTGAAATGCACGTTTTAGCATATTAATAATTAAAAATTTGTCGGAAGGATTTGTAATAAATAATAAAAAACTAAAAAAATAATAAAAATAAATAATAAAAATATAATAAATAATAAATAATAAAAATATCTTTTATTAAAACTGCCGGCATTTTTTTGTTAAAATAGTGGATTTTTTCCCAAAAATGTTTCTATATATAAATAACAAATATTACACAAAATTTCGAGATTTGTTCAGAGTCACAAAAATGGCTTTCCCAGTCTACAGTTAATTTCCAAAAAAACAAATTGTTTTTTCGTATAGCCTTGCACGTATATTATTAAATCTATAATAAACTTTTCAGAAAATAAAGCTCTTTAAGTTACATTTTAAATTACTGATCTATTATTTGTCTTTATATTTCTTTAATTTATTTTAAATTTTTATATATACTAACAATAAGCATTGGCCTCGCTCTTGCTCTTGAATTACCTTATTTTTAGTGCTCTCCATATCTCTTCTTTCTTTTTATCGAAATATTCACAGTCGATATGCTGTTGCTCATTGTATCGGTAAATAGATTATATCCTGCTCTCCGCATCGTTAATCGAGCCGCACATTGTGCGTTAGTTACGCATGATAGTGTTCCATTTTCGCTATTATTACGTAGTAGTGCGAATCCTTTTGCTTCCTGATGCAATATTATTCTTAACTTATTACCGCAAAAACCACTCATATCAAGTCTAATGCCAGGGCAAGATTAGAAGCCAGTTTTATGGCATAATGGCAAAACTCTGTAATAAGATTGGAAATAACTGCAATTTTAAGGGAGCTGTACATCCCGACGAGATGTACACCTTGTCATACGGAAGTGGCAAGCATACACCTGATTAATCATCGTAAAAGAGTCTCGCGCAGGATCGATGGAGACCCTCGAACTTAACCTTATGTTTTTAATAAAGCGCAACATGACACGCTTCGGTAAGAAAATATGCATATTGCCGTACAATTTGCTTCAATCGACTTTATCTGTGTTGAAAAGGTCGGTTCATTCAAGCACAAGGATCTTAATTTACATGTCTTGATGCATGTAATAAAAAAATATTTCTAGAATTGAAGTTTTTTTAAACATTTTAAAAAATCTATAATTTTGGTGAGACAGAGAGAAAGAGAAAGAGAGAAATATCTTCAGTATCGATTTTACATAAATATAAATATCAAATGTCTAGATATTAAATATTATGCTCGAAAGAGTGTAAAATCACATACCAGGAATTTAGAATGCAAAAAAAATTTCTATAAAAAGGACAGTCTAAGAAATACGATATTATAAAAGAACCGTATCATATCGGATTTCTCCGGATCCTATGACATATATATGATATTAAAAATGATATTTTGCTTTCACGCGTGTGAGAAGAAACTAAATCTGACCACTTGTCCAATGTAATTCTAGAGCAGCTAAAATGAACAAACTTCTCTCTGTTCCATCGAGTTTACTCTCTCACGAATTTTAAGTCCGTGGATTTTTTGGAAACTTTCAATATGTCAAATAAACGTCAACATTTATCGAGGGAATTTTTGTTGATTAGATGACTATTTGGTGCACACACAGTGTCTTCGTAAACAATTGTGGTCTATATTATAGAATGTGTTGAAATATGTGTTGAAGTACAAAAATGCAGTAAACGGAATTGATTCTATTATTTATCTGTTAATTAAGGTTAGTTTGATAAAATAGTATTGATTCGTTAAATTAATTACACAGCATGTGAAATTTAATTTTTATTAGAATTTATTAGAGATTGCCTTTCAATCTGCAAAAATGTCTTTATTTATGCAATTTTTGTTTATACCATTATTTATTTATATATAATGTGTGGTTTTAAATATTTAGGTTTAAATTGATCTCATTTGATATAAATTTGATATATTGCTTATATTTTATTCAAATTGTGTAACACATTTTAATATAATATTTATTTTATATATTAATTACAGTGTTTTATACAAATGGAATTTGATTGGTTAAATTTATTTATTTATAATAACTGTACATGATACAAGCTTTAATATTTTTCTTTTTATTTTAAGTTTATGCATGGTTTTGTTTAGTTTGTCAGAGTTAAAATGTCCAATTCAGAGGCTGGTGTAGGATGCATCAGTGAGGTAACATTTGCGATTAGTAAAGCAAGAAGTTCTCAAGCAGGTACTGTGAGAGTTCTTGATAGTCCTGATTCAGATGGATCTGGCCACTCAAATTCATTTACTGTGCAACGATTTAATTATTCCAATGATAACAATAATACAAATATCCTTCAATCACCCCTCACTAGCGAAGACTTGAGAATACCTATTGTTGGTTATGAAATTATGGAGGAAAGAGCTAGATTTACAGTTAGTTAATTCTTATATTAATTCTCTTATCCTCTCTTATTACTCTACATTATAATAATAAAAATTATATATTGATATTTAAATATATTATTATTATTATTATGACATAAATATAAATACTATATCTTGCATTCGGGAAATATACCCCTTATACTTTTTTTAATTATAAATATTTACTTTAAGATATAAAACTGAAATATATGAAAAATATGAGAACTGTCATTTATATTTTGTAAATATTTAAAAAAATAAGTATTCTCTTTTTTTTGATTTATAGGTTTACAAACTTCGAGTTGAATTGAAAAATGGCGATTGTTGGTTTGTGTTTAGAAGATATACAGATTTTGTTCGACTACTAGCTCAATTAAAAAGGCAAAAAGTTCCTATTGCTCATTTATCGCTACCAAGAAAAAAATGGCTTGGTGATAATTTTGCTCCAAGTTTTTTAGAAGAAAGGATATGTGGGCTTCAAGCATTTGTTAATGGCATATTGAGTAGTCCAATTCTCATAGGTGTTTCATGCGTAAGAGAATTCTTCTGTTTGGATGAACCTCCTGTTTTATCTGATACAGCAGAGGAATCCAGAGTCAGTTTTATATTATGTAAATCAGATTTAGATCACAGCAGATTTTCTGTTTAATGAAATATTTATTATTATTTTTTCAGGCAATATTTGAAGCACTGGAAGATACAATTTATAATTTAAGACAACAACTAAGAGAGCGTGATGCAGTACTTGCATCTGAAAAAGCTCGTTGCAATGAATTCCGGAAAAAACTTCATCAAATATTGAGGTAAGTTATGAAATATTATTAATTATAAATATTTTTTTTATAAAACATTCTAAAATGTTTCAGTGAGAGACAAACCTGTTCAAAATGTGGTGCAACTCAATAGTAACTATATAGACTGCATATAATATCAGATTTGATAGAGTTAATTTATACAAAATTTAAATTAATGTTATTATAAAAAAGAGTATATATAAGATTTTTTAATCTATCATTATATACAAGTAGAATATTTATCAGTGATATTTTACAGTCAGAATATTATATTAATTGATATAGAATTATTTTATTAGTACATAAGCTTTGTATATAAAATTTTATTCACAAATTTTGTAATTTGACTAAATATTTTATACAAATTTTTAATAATTGATGTTATTTATTACAAAGCTAAATTACAAATAATTCCACATAAATAGATCTGGAATTTTTTTGAAATATATAAATAAATTTATACTTATATACTATTTATTGAAAGAAAACTCTATTTTCTCAATAGATGAGTATTTCTTTTCAACTTCCAAAAATATATTAACTTTAAATATACTTTCTATTATATTGTTTATGAAATTTATGTGCAATTCATTTGTTTAAATCATTATGGTTAAATTAAGCGTCTAGCAAGTTGAATATCAAAATAGATTAAAATAGTTTTTTTGTATTTTGTCCATGATAGTAATTCAAACTTTTGTCCAGCTGAACAAAGAAACTGGATTACAGGAGAACTTTTATATGTAAAATAATATTTTTGTATAATCTGATATTTTATGTAAGAAATTGTACATTTATTTCTTTCGTAAAAAATCTAATTAAGAATTATAAATTATAATTTAGATTAAAGTATAATAAATTATATATACATACATATATATATACATATATATATATATATATATATATATATATAAATTATACATGCAAATTATAATTTATAATTTTTAATTATCTTTTATTTATACGAAATTACAAAAATATGAATAATAATTTATTAATATCATATTTTAAAAAGTTGCAAAAGAGTATACTTGTAGAATTACATTATTTTAAATTTTGTTTTCTCAAAATACTATTTTACATATAACAAAATGTTATCAGATATAATAAAATGCTTATATAAAACAAATATATTACAATATTATGCGTTATTTTATCAGCGATTATATCTTGATAGTACAATATATTGCACAAATATATAAAATATTATTTTTCCTAATTATTTATATCTTTTGTTATATATACATTTGTATTCTCTATATAAAATATTTTAATTATATACTTAAAAAGAAAAATCTAAAAATTTTTTAATTGCATGGCAATTGTATTGCAATGTAAGGCACATTGATTTTATTTATGCTTATTGCATATTTTTTCTGAAAATCACGAAATGCACATGTGAGCAAATATTTCATATACTTATATACATCAATGATGAATTTAAGATTTAATCAGTCTTCCCGTTCATCTGGTGCAACAACTAGGCACAGCGATTGAATGAAGTATGTCAGTTTAGCTGAAAAAAGAGATTAAGTGTAAATTTTATTATAGAGAGAGATAAGCAGATTACGTTCTACAATAGCAAATGACACATAAATAATAAAACTTTTTTGTTCAAAAAGCTTCCACATATGCTTCTGCATATTTCTTATTTAATTAAACTCACCTAATAAAATACTTCTTGTCTTCTTGTATACATAGATATGATACAAAACAATGCCGCATAGAACAAACGCGAGCGCGAAAAGATATTTCGTCGATGGTTCATAAATTATTGGTAGTACTGCAAGGAAGATAGAGATACCTAACACAAGCCAAGGTATCACGATAGGCACAGCGTATGGTCTAGAAGCGTTTGGTTTTGTCCGTCTCATAATTATAAGCGATGTCATCGCGAATCCGTAAAACACCCACATGAGGAAACTGGCGAATTCGATTAAGGCGATTATGTCACCCAGTAGCAGACACAGTAATGAGAGCATGCCTTGGAAGATCACTGCGGGAGCTGGTGTCATTTTCTCAATATGCACATAACTGAAGACGCGTGGTATGTGGCCTTCTCTGCCTGCAACGAAGCATAATCTGGATACGCTAAATTGGATGCTAAGGGCGCATCCAAAGGTCGACAACACTACGCCGAGCGGTATCACGAAACCCATCCAAGACGGTAAAACTCGTTCTGCCCAAAGAACCGCTACCGCTGGCGCGCTCACCATCTCTGATGATGTCAACGCTGCCATGTACATCAAGTTCATAGATACATATAGAACGGTGATAACAGGTACTGCGATGAGGGTACTCCTAAGAATATTGATCTCGGGTTTCTGAACTTCCTCGGTGACAATCGCGGCCGAGGTCCAACCGTCGTACGCCCATAGCCCGCTGTAGAAAGCCAGAGCAATGTTCCCGGCTGATGTGGTTGTACCATGAAAGGGATCTTTGAGAAGTTCCACGTGACCTGTACCAAGCCACCATATTCCACCACTGATTACCACGATACAGGCAAGTATCTTACACATGGTGAACACATTTTGTACTTTTACATAAAGTTTCACGCTGATGAGATTGATATATGTTATTACAGCAAGTCCCATGATTGCCAGGAGTTTCTTCAAAGTTGCCATAGAGTCGCCGCATAGATTGTCAAAATATCCAGAAAACGGTTGTATGCTGTATTCCGCGAACGTCAACATGATCACCGCTACTTCCGCCGGTCGCAGTAGCATAACATAAATCCAGGAACAAGTAAATGCCGGTATTTGACCGGCGTAAGGATGTAATGGTCCAAAAGCCTCAATGAAGTATGCATATTCGGCACCGGAACGTGGTACCACAGTGCTTAGTTCAGCAAAGGCCAACGCTCCCAGCAAAGATAACACGCCACAACTGATCCAAACGATTAGACAAAATCCCACAGATCCTGACCGCTCAAGTGCGCTGGTGGGCGATACAAAAATGCCGGAACCTGGACAATAGAGGTAACGAGGTTACAATTAATAATAATTCAACAGTATTTGGCGGAGCTAACTACGACAGTTAGTAGCTAATGCTTCGTGTTGTGAATGACCGATTAACCTTGATTAACCTTTGTGACGTTTTTTTATAGTCGTATATATAATTATTAAATTGATTGACATATATATATTTAAAATATTTGCATTAGATTAATTATTAATTATTTATAAAGCATTTAAATTGCAGCAGACTGTGTGAATAAAGCTGTTTATCGCATATTAATAAATTGATATCAATTTCGGTTATCGGAATTGACATCGGATATTATGAATAATTCAACAAGTATGCTATTATTTGTTCTACTTATATTATTTATATAAGATTATGCCGAATGATATAATTTGATCATAGATAAAATATCAGTAATTAATCTTGCTAAGTCTTGAATTATAAATTGTTTGGAACCAAAGAAATAAAAAGATAAGGTCTGTCAATGAAACAGATAATGCTGGAAAGGTTTGAAAAAAATGCCAAGTTTTTAAATAATTATATTACATAAGAATGAAAAATCTAATTTAGTAATACTTATCGAAGAATATTATAATTTTATATTTATTTGATTTTTCTTAATATTAATATTCTTAATTATATTTATTTGATATCTTAATATTTAAGACACTAGAGACAATATTTCGGATATCGTCATTTATTGGAATAAAATATAAATATATTTTACCAAAAAAATAAATATATTTTATATTATATCACCATATTTTTTCGACTGCCATAATGTTTCATTTCTAATTAATAATATGTGTCATTTTAGTAAAACGAACGATAAATAACTTTGCGATTATATGTTATCTACAAGTAATATGTAATTCTCATGATACATATGCATGATACATATGCATTTCGTCACTCTGTGATGACTCCAACTAATTCAAACGAAAATGAAATTTAAATAATATAAAAGTGTTATATTATGATATTATAGTACGAGATTGAGAAAAATTGGAAAAATTCGCGATTTTTTTTCTTTCTAAAAATATTATACCGTTTTAAATACCGTTTAAAATATTATACCGTTTCAAATGAAAATTACGATTATGAAATTGATTAAAAAGAATTTATAGATATATTTATTCCATAAAAAATTAAATTTTCCTTTAATTTTAAAGATTAAAAAATAATTGTAAATTTTTTAAATTCTCTCTATTCTTGTTGCTTTTCATTATTTTACTTTATTGCTTATTATTAATATAAAATATGTTTATTAATTAGACAAATAATTTTTTGTCAAAATTATAATATTGATATAATTTTAGAAATTCCAATCATTTCATATTTTAACCATTTCAATAAACCATTCGACTAAAAAGAGAGATAATATTGATCTGGAAAAAATTAATATACAAGACTTCTCCATTAATTTATTAAATGAAAGAACATCTGTGTAAAGGAAGTAAGTTTGCAAAAAAGTAACAAATTTTTGAGACAATGCCTATCTTATAATTTTTGCCAATATCTGTCAATATCTATCTTGCTTTGTGTACAGATGTTTAATTTAATGAAAACCGAGTTTATATTTTTTCTGTTTATAATTTTTCTGTAATTCTTTCTTTTTATCTTCGCAAAGATGAACATACATTGAAATTTGGTTCAACGCTCGATTAGTTGTACTCCCAAACAATAAAAACGAAAATAATTTTCGTGACTTGCAATAAAGAGCACGCATCGTGTGGAATCTTTTTATAGCACGATACAGTAAATGAATACTGTGAATTTGAGCTTGCCTTCTTTGTACATTATTATTTATTACACTAAAATGCGACTACAAACGAAAGGATTAAAAATTTGCGAATGAAAAGAATGAGTCATAAATCTTAGTGTTTTTTTTTTTTAATTATTTGTACACGTACACTTTAATTATACCTCACGTACAGCTCCACGGTCTTGATCAAACTTTTGATATCGCACAATAACATGCTGCAATAAACGTGAAGAAATAAATGGCGCGCGTGCACGTGTATAAAACAATGTTTAATTTATTAAATCCAAACATATGTGTATATGTGTATGCATGAAACAATACGAAATAAAATTCAGCAAAAATTAATTTGCATTTGCATTCATGTTATGATTGTTATTTGTGATTGCATTTGCAATTTAAATATATGTGAAGAATTTTAAATTCTCAATTAATTCTCAATTAATTATATCTTACCGATCATCACTGCCAGGATAATGTTGACCGCGCTGAAAAGGCCTAGCTCTCTTTTGAGCTCGATTTTTCCAGATGTTTGCTCTTTTTCGCGTGCCATTTTTCCGTGTATCGAGACTGTAAAATCAGCAATATTGTGGAGAATGTGTAGCGTATGTATTTATCGTCACTGTTAAACAATAATTTAAATTTCAAGACACATCGCTCAGATTGTTGGAATTTTTTATTTTAAATCGGCGGTAATACCAGGTTTTTGTCTTGAATTCTGAGTAACCGCGAGCTCCTCGAGCTTGTCATCGGTGGTTCACGTTCGATGGCACCGAACTCGACCATGCGACTGAAGCTACTGGATGACGTATGTTTATCACTGCCAGAGCTCACGACTGTAACTGTGGTATTGCTGGGTCAGCTTGTCAGCTCATTTTTTTACAAGTACACATGCATTACTTTGATAAGAAGATACTAATCATTATAAGTGGCCGCCTATTTTTTTTAATAGAGAGTGATCGACGAACTAAATGACAGTAAAGACAGGCATTAAGGCCATACAGACAGTCATTAAAGGCCGCAATAGAAAGTTTGCTCCGACACTTATCACTTATATATCTTACATGAATAAATCCAACCGCACTCAACGATTTGTTTGCTCATTTTACGAACGACTGCATCTAGCTTAAATTAATTGACAAAGTAAATCATTATCAAATATCTATCAGTATACTGATATCGTTACTGCCAAATGATAAATAGATAAGATAATATGTGAAATTCGTATTTTTGGTATCGTTTAATAGAGAGAAATGTTTCTACATATAAATGTAGCTCCAGTAGTAATAGCCATTTATGGTATTTAGGCTTAAAACAATTATATCACAAAAGCCACATAGATTGTGTGTGATTCATACATTATTTGAAACCGCATACAAGTGATAGAAATAAAGCGAATATACAATGGTCAAAAGTTTCAAATTTATTTTTTATTACATTTCGAAAAAAGAAATTTTTGATAAACAGAGAGCTATTTAAATATTTTATATATGTATTCTATTCAATGAAAATTTTATGAATCCTATTCTATGAAACTGCTTGTAATAAAGAGAAAGAGATTTGTGATAAACGGAGAGCTATATTATTTAAATATTCTATATATATTCTATTATATTCAATTGTATATATATATGTACATATTCTATTCTATTGTACATGTACATTCTATTCTATTCAATGAAAATGTATAATAAAAGAAATTTTTGATAATCGAAGAGATACATTATTTATATATATGTATATTCTATTCAATAAAAGTATCCGTACAATAAAGGGAATAATTGGATACTGTATTATTTTTCTATTGATAAATGATTTGATCCCGAAAAAGATTCATTCACAGAGTTTAATATTATTCAATTGTTGTACTATTATTTTATTATTAACATAACAATACTTTCAGAAGACATATACATATCATTCATCTGCAGCATTCTTGTACGTGAACATCAATTAATTTTCTCTTCTTTTTAATAATGCGAACGATTCTAACAGTATTTTTTTTTAATTAATTTCTTTTGCAAATTAATTAAATTTTTATTTGCTTTGTTTTTTGTAAAAAATTGTTACATTGTAAAATGATGGATATATTAATATGGATAAGAACAAGTTGTAAATACTTTATAAATAAGATAAGAACATTCTTATAGCTGATATTTTTTGACAAGATATCTTATATTTGAAAACTAATAAATGTACTTAATAATATCAACATTTAATATCAACTTTTTAATAGATAAGTTGAGAAAGAAATATATTAATCTCTCCTAACATTAATAATAATAAATACTAAAATACTTATCCACATAAGATAAATGCATATATATATATATATATATATATATATATATATATATATATAAAGTTATATGACTTGATGAATAATATATAACATAATTATTTGATAAATTTTTAACATTTCTGACTAGTTGGAAGAAGCTACTATAAAACTAAACTAATACAGAATTATTCGTATAATTATATTTTTGATAAAAATATGTGTAAATTTTTTAAAATTACGCGAATAAGACTTTGAACGCAATAATTTAATATATTATATTATATATATATATATATATATATATATATATATATATATATAATAAATTTGTTTGATGTTTTACAGTTTCATTATTTTTAATTTTTTTTCTTTTTTATTTTAAAATAAGGCATTTTTTAAAGCTTATATAAATATATTTATAAATCCGTGAACAAAAGATTAGGTTTACATTTTTCATTGTTAACTAATCAATAATTTCTAATAAGCCAATATCTATGAGAAGGAAATTCCATTGATATCTGAATTATCAATGGAAAATTATCAATGGAAAAGAATTCAAATTCTTCATCGATGATTTAAAAGATAATCGATATTTGAATCAGCTGTGGGCAACTGACATATATCGCTTTCGCTGCCTTATTTGGTTATCCAAGATTAAGTTAGGTTAAGTAGACAGAACATGACAGAGTTTATATCTGACTACACAAAGAATTGTGTAAATATATAATAAGTACATATACGATATCTTTATTCAAGATTAGGATTAGAACTAATCGAAAATGAATGACGAAGAAGTAAAAGGCCCGGATGAAGAGGAAGGCGAATTTTTTTTCGAATCCGATCACTTGGCATTGAAGGGTAACAAGGATTATAGTGCGTTCCTGAAAACAATAGTTATTCTTGAGGCACAAAGAATTCAAGCTATAAAAGATTTAGATGAACTTAAGTCTGCGCGAGCCAAAGCGATAAAGAATCCAATATCGTTTGTGGCCCAGCTGCAAAATGGAGATCTTCCTGAGTTACCTGGCCCGCAGAAAATCGCAGAGATTCCTTATATTGATTGGTCACAATATAATATATCATTGCCAGATACACGTATAAGACCGCAAACTCGACACGGACATGTCTTGCCACAGATGCAAGTGAAAAATGAACAAGAAAATGGAAAGGTATATGGGAACGTTATATCTATTAAAAACCATATAATCTCTGTAAATACATATAATAAGAGTTTTATTTTGTAGATTCTAGTGAGAGGTCGTGTTTTTGATGAAAGCAAGCCTGAAACTTTTAATCAATTATGGACAATAGAAGAACAAAGACGGCTCGAGGAACTTTTAATTGAATACCCACCGGAAGAAATAGAAATGAGACGTTGGACTAAAATAGCAAATGCATTAGGTTCTTAATTTATTCTTGTGTTAAAAATGTTTAAATTATTTTGTAAGTAAGATATTAATTATATTTGCTTTTTGCAGGAAACCGAACACCTAAGCAAGTGTCCAGTAGAGTTCAAAAGTATTTTATAAAACTTTTAAGGGCAGGTTTACCTATACCAGGAAGAGGTCCTAAAATAAAATTGGATGTTAAGAAAGGTTTAACCCATAAACATCAGCGTAATAATCACTTTTTGTTTAAACGTTCAACATTCTTTCCACATCAAGATATTTCCTTTAATATATCAGACGAAAATAAAGAACAGCTTGTAACAGAAATTGTAAGCATTATCTACACTATTCTTTTATATATTTAATGCACTTAAATAGTTATTTTCATTAATATTGTTTATTCAGGAGGATGATGCATTAAGTGGAGGAATTGACGATACTCCTGAAGCAAGGCAAATAACTTTATTGCGTCAAGTAAAGACTGAAAAAGAGCAAGATTTTTCTTCATACAAACATATTGGATACAAAGTATGTACTGTATATTCTTTTTACATTTTTTATATGTATAAAACTTTTGTTTATCAATAATATTTTTTGTACAGTGCACAGTATGTGGTGAAGAACCTTTAAAAGGTACCAGATGGCATTGCTCAAAATGTCATAGTGGAATTGATCTATGTAGCGATTGTGCAATAGCACAGATGGAAGCTGAAAATCCCATACATGATCCATTTCATAAATTAATTCCCATAAAACCACCACAATATACTAGAAGTTATGATTTAGATTATTTCCCACAAAGTTTTAGTAATTCTTCCTACAATTATCTCGATCCAAATTTCCTACCTGAATAATACAGTCTTCCAAATAAATACAATAAATATTACATAAATAAAATAAAAAATTGATTTGAGTATTTATATATTTTTAATTCATTTTACGCTTATGCAATTAGACTGTTGTAATGGAGGAAATTCAGAGTTAACAGATATATATTTTAGACGAATTTTCTTCTGAAGTTGATTAAACGTTCCATTTTTTATACTGTCACGAATAGCAATAAAGAATTGAAGATAATGATGAGTATTGTGTCTGAAAATAATTAAGTTAATCTTTAAATTTTGTATAAACATAACATAAAGACAAAATTGATTAAATTGTAACTTATAAATACATACATCATTAAAAGTACTAAACCAAGCATTTCTTTTGTATGATGCAAATGATGGAGATACGCTCGTGTATGATTTTGACATGCAAGACAATTACATTTTTTACAAATAGGAGAAAAGTCGTCTTTATATCTAAAAAGAGAAAAATATATATGAAGATATATGTAAAAGCATAATTATAATATACAAAAAGTATGTTATATTCCATATTTTATTTATCATATTCCTACCTCTCTTCTGCTACTGATATTCTATATTGATCATTCTGACAAATATCATGATTACACATGAAAGTCAAAGCTTGTGATTGTTCAGTAATTATATAAGGATAGGATGAGTCAAATACATCCACTCCTAATTCAACAAGATCAAGTACAGTAACTGGATTCCAACAACCCATTGATACTCTTATTTTATCAGTAGGCAATAAATTCTATAAAAAATTATAATATATTATAGTATAGGTATTACAGTATAATATAGTATATTTTATATTTACTATAAAATTATAGTAAATTATAGTATAGTTATTAAAATATTTTAAAATATAATATTTTAAAACATAAATTTGAAAAATTGATATTTACAATAGTATGCTGTACTACTTGTTTAATTTGTTCTGTTGAAATATTTTGTACACTTGGGCCATTATTATGTAATCCATCTATAACGAATCCTGCCAAAGGTTTATCTTTTAAATAATCTATGGATTCTTCTCTGGTTTCCAAATTATAACCACCTTCCACTGATCCTAATATTCCTTTTGATTTCAATGTATCTGAATGCAGGTGTATATTTAGACATTGTTCTAATAAAGTTTTACTTCGCAGAACTGCCTTTGACACTCTTTTTGCACTACTATTAATATTTGTATCTCCATCACATAGCGCAACATAGAGATCTGGTTTATAAGCTTGCACAAGCTCCATATATTTATTAGCAGTAAAAACAATTCTTCCTGTTCTGGACCAAACAGAAATAGAGTCCAATTGTTGAAAGCCAGGATTTGTAGTATATGCAGGATCTTGTATTGATAAAAAATTTATGTACTCCTAAAATAAAATCCTTTAATTAGTATCTTAAAAAGTACAATGAAATGTTAATGCATAGTTAATTAATCTTTGATTACCTTCATGCTAACAAAATCAGCAAAAGAAGTGTTAAACTCTTTAATAACATCCGTCATTAATATAGTAGAGGGAAGTGAGACTGAGAGCAATTGTTGTTCCGAAGTTACCATTTTAAAAACTTCTTTCGTCAAATGTGGCACACTGCCAGCCTAAACATTATTTTAAAATAAAATATGAATATAAATATTATAAAATAGAAAGATAATATTCTATAAAAGATTAAATTTCTTATCTCATACCTTTGTGTAAATAAGAAGTAGAGGTGTTTCAAAAGAAACATTAGGCATTCTTTCAAATCCACTCAGAGTTCCAATTCGTGCAGCACAACGTGCTATAGAGTCAGTGAAAAATTTCATTGTTATAAGTTATTATTTTACTCTTTAATCACTTTTTTTGACAGTTGATGAAATGTGTGTGTAATAATAAATAAATAAATCTTTCTTAAAGATTCTATTGCAGCACATTTACAGATTAGTTCAACATATGCAATACACAATGCATATTTAATATATTTTTATTTATATAAAATAATTATAATCATTTAAAATTAAAAAAGACAGAGTGTGCCGTATAATTTAATTTCATTTAGTAACACGTGGTTTTAATATAACCTCAAAATGATTCTTAAATTTTATTTCGCAAACTCTCTCTCTAAAATCATTTGCATAATATAAATTAAAGTCATTCATGAATCATAATAATTTGAATAAAATTCATAATAAGGAATTTCATTTATATTAAAAATAAATATATATAAAATATATGAATAAAAGTGACTGTCATATCCTTCGCACAACGATGAAAATTGCCAATCAAAATAATCTCCAACTTTCGCTAAATAATATTATGCAAATTAAATTGTTATTTTTAATATTTGCATCTTATTTGTATATTTAAAATTAATAAACATAAAGAAAAATTAATAAACAAATTAGTAAACAAAATTAATAAACAAATAAAAATAAATCATATATGCAATAATAAATTTTAAACACAATATCCATATCGAGTCTTTCGCAAAAAACTTTATTATTATTTTTAATATCATAAAATTCAGCATTGAAGAAATATAATTCTATCTAATTTATTGTTTCAATTATATTTAAAATATTTCAGTAAGAATAAATTTAACAAATATAATGAAAACAGATAACGTAAACAATTACACATTTTAAAAATATAGTAATAATAATTAAATTTGGCGCTATAAATACTCTTTATTTGATTGACCAATCAGAGATTTTGATGCACTCTGATTGGTCAAAAATATGCACACATGCAGTGACTTCCTTTTTCTGCGTGGGATCGTTCGCGGGAAGAAGCAGAGACTCTACATTCTGATAATATCCGCACAAATAAACCGATAAAGAGGTAATCGAGCCGATGAAACGCCATTATTTGCAATAAAAACGTTTTCTGAATAAACTGTGAAAGTATTTAGTAGTTTCGTGTCAAAAATCTAAGTAATTTTCTCAAATCAAATAATCGGACATTACATATTTTATCCTATCGATTTCTCGATCATTTAGAGACGATTTGACACATTTGTATATTTTAGTTGATGCTGTTACTAGTTTATTTAAAAATTCTGCTTAGAAATCGAATGTAAAATCTTTTATTTTCTGATTGAAAAAAAATTGTTACTCATGCAATACATTCTCATGTACGGACATGAATTTCTGACGATTACAGCGCCACCAGTGACTGTTAGGTGTACTAAGACGAGCGTCTTTACAAATGGCCGTTTGAAATGTGTAGTGTTTCGCGAGTGCGTGCACAAATTCGGGAATAAATACAGAGATTTGGACCACAAACAAGTTGTGCAAGATTAATGAACCGTTCTCCGTGAGTTCCTTTTCTGTTCTATTATTCACAAAGTGTAGAGAAAAGTCAATTTTCTCATAAATCTTAAAATAAGTTATGAATACGAACGTGATTGCATGGTGCGCTCAAATAATAATCTGCAGGTATACTCTATTTATATCATGTTACATCTGTTTCCAGGCATTTAATTGATCAGAAGAAAAAAATCTTCAGTCTTTTTGTTTTAATTAGTTAATTAAACAATTCAAAGCGTTGTACTAAGCACGGTATAATATTCATTGTGTCTTTATTGTTTTAACATTCGTGCAATGATCGCAATTTAAATTGATGTGATTTTTCATATAATAATTCTTTTCTTAAGATTTTTCAAACTAGATTTGCATGTTACTCCGTTAAAACAGAAAATGTATTTATTTGATTTTCTTAATATATAAATATGTTTTGATCGACATATGTATATAAATTTTACATTGTGTTCTGATTTTTATATTGTACTTATATATCATCATTTTTTTTGTTACAGATGATGGCTGATGTTTCAACGTTTAATAATCATTGCGGAGATTCGACGAAATTCGTACAAATTCAGTGAGTAATTAATAAATATTAATATTTTACTATTTTATGTTACAAATATTTACAACGGTATATTCAAAAGTTTATTATAACTATGAAACATTTATTTCCTTTTTTTGTAGAATAACGATAAATTTTATATATATTTTTTGGAAAAACGCAGAGTAACTTAATATAAGTTAGTAAAAGATTTTAAAATATATATTACAATATCTTTTTATCTTTAAAATATAAATAAATTAATATTTAAATTTATATATTTTATTCTTGATGATTATATCTTATTAAATAAATTAATTAAATTAGTGTATACAAAACAGATTTTATCATAAAAATATTTTGATTTATAATAGAAAGAACAAATATATATCAGCTATATATTTTTAGAAAATAATTTAATCGATAATTTTGAAAGTAATATAATTGATTATCGAGATTATTAAAAAATTCTTTGATATCGATCATAAAAATTTTAAGAATTAGAACAGATACATATATACGTACATATATACATATATACATATATATATATATATATATATATATATATATATATATAGACATATTAATAAAACATTTTATTAAAAAAACATGCACATACATATATCATGAAATACTTTTTTATTTACTGTACAATTCGATATTTTTCTCAAGAAATATTAAAATATCTTGCTTATCATTTCAGATTACAATATATACAATATTAAAATAAAATGTCTTTGTTTACAATTTGTGATCTTATATAATTATATAATACAATTTGTGCTAAATATTAATTTATGGGATGGGTTCCTCGAAGAGATGTTGAAAGCATCATCGGCATGATTAATTAAATTGTAATTATAAACAAATCAATAAGAAAGTAATATTATCAATACACTTGTATCTCTTTTTTTAACAAAAACTTTAAGATTTATATTATGATAGATGGCATTTTAGTAAAACACAGAAAAAAGTTACAATTATATACAAGATACTGGTTTGAAATTTCTGCCCGCGAGAAATCACTGATATATGACTTCGTCGGGATGCATGAATAAGTAATCAGAACAATATTTATATTCATATTCAAAGATTATAAATAGCCCCTTTTCTAAGGCAAAATAAAAACTTAAATGATATAACATCATGGGGAAGAAAATCAATTTAATCTCTGCTATGTATCTTTCTCTCATCGTTAGATTCCTATCAGTATAATATATCACTTCGTTAATTTCTGGTTAACATATACATATATTGATATTTTTCGGAATCATTCGACACATGATGACGTATCGATTACATATGCGATATTTATCTATTTATCTATAGTGGCAAGTGTTTTATTACAATATAAAATTATTTTAATGTTATATTTTGTATAACATTTATTATGGCTTTCATTTAGGCAAGAAAAATTAATATTTTATTATTAACGGATGTGTGTGTATGTAAAATAATAAATGACAATACACAACATATTTGCATTTATTAATGGCATTTTGAAATAAGATATCCGAAATTTCATATTTTTTAAATATATTAAAACATAAATTTTATTAGAATATTATAATATAAATAAGTTTTTTTTATAATCTTTAAATAAATTTTTCAAATATTATTACCAAAAATATATATCACACATATGTTGGGTAATAAATTTCATATACATTTCAGTAGACAGTGACTAATTATAAAATCTGTTTTGTAACACGATAATTACATCAGTGTGCTTTTAATTTACGCTAATCATAAAAGCTTTTATTTTTTAAATTACAAAATAAAATATACTATAATATTCTTCTTCCTCTTTAATTTTTTTCGTGGCATCTCATTAGCCTATTAAAACATTATAATATAATATGGTGATACATCGCTATTTTGTACAATAATCGCAGGAACATTTGCATATGGAAAATATATATCAGCCAATTGATATAAAATTATTTCTTGGCAAACTCACATAAAGAGTTCATCACTTTGCGCTTTGTTCATGAACCATTTAATAAAACTGAAGTCGCGCAAGAGATTGACATCGAAATAGTACTTGCATTGTTTTTTCAAAGATACATTTAATTACATTTAATTTTCACCCGATTTAATTACATTTAATTTTCACGGTTAATTGTTTTTATGCGGTCAATATCTATTAAACTACTTTATACAATCGAATGCGTGTTCGCGGAAATAAGTACGGCGAGAAAAACTTCGTATTTGATTTACAATATATGTATATGTATAATGTATATAAATTTAATTAAATGTACAAGAACCATAGAAATATTTAACGTAACACATGCATTTCATTTTAATATTTATTAATTTTTGCATTTCGTTAATATTAGAAATTGTTGCAATTTTGCTAGTTGAATGAGCAATTTTCTTCGCATGAATTCACACATAACTCTCACATAACTATGGCGTCATACAATGTTTCGCTCGATATGTTGACATTGATTCGGTTCAAAGTACAACTAGAGTGTGTGCATAATCTTTATGCTTTGTTACAACACAAGGCACTCATGTAATATAATATAATACATATATATGCAAATGAATTATTAGCGATAACTGATAATTATCAGTACGGTTCAATAAATTGCGGCCAAGATCGGCAATAAGTATGAAAGAATGCTTCCTGTGATTTTAAAAATATCTCGCCAGGAGATAATTATAAAGTTAGCGCAATTAGTCTACTTAAGCTGATGTCAATATAAAGACACTCGTATTATATTTATAATTGTATTATGATTATAAATATGAGTAAAATTCCCGAAAATCTTTTTTACATAACGCATGAATTATAATCAAGTTTTGCAAGATTATATAAATTTCTATCTTTTTATAAATATCGAAAGAAGTTTTTTTTGTTTTTTAATGATATAAAATGTACAAATGTTTCAAAAATTAATATATATTAATATTTATTATTTTAAATGATATTGAAAGATTTCTTTAGCTTGTAGCTAATAGTTAATATCTATTCATTAAATTAATTATAATTGAATTCTAATTATAATGTCAAATTGGCAAGAATATCGAATACATATTTTTTAATATTCTCGTTTTCACTTATTAAATCATTTATAAAACCATAGAAGATGTGCAATTAATTACATTAAATCTTGAATAAATTGGAGGAACAGCTGGAAGATATGTACAATTAAATAAATCATAATATAAGATAGTTATTCACATATAATGTACATTATTTCTAGTGGAAATCAACCATACATGACATTAATCATTTTGTTGCTGTTTGCGTTACTCATTTTTATAATAATTAATATGCTCAACTGAATTTAATATCAAATTAAAAATGATTTTACTTTTCTATTTATTAAAATAGTAAATTGAAAAATGTTAGAAATCATTACGTTAGAAATAAAAATTAATCAAAATGGATGTTACCGGAAGAATAAAATTTATAGTTTTCTCTTTTATGTATATTCTTAACTGATGTTTTAGTTTGAAATATATATATCATTGCATAAATTTTTAAATTTTAATTTTTAAGTTTTAAATTAATTATCTATTTTTTCAAATTAAAATATCAATTAAAAATATGTATGAAAGGGAAAATTATAATTATTTTGTAATAGAAATCATTGTTTGTATCGCGAATGGAACATGGTAGTTGGCTAAATTTCCAGAGCCTGCGATATGAAAACAACAAAGACATTTGTCACGAAATGCGTGAATTCGTGCGTATGCGCGAACCCGGGTTCGAGAGGCTAGAAGGACTCAACAAAGAGAGGGAAAGGTGCGGGAATCGCCAACACATATCTTGATATCTCGCAGTTCGATCTCTCGAGTCGGCCGTCCGTATATTTACATGTATAATTTATATATCCCGTAGTCCGAACGAACGCGTGGTACGTTCGGTTAGGGCGGGCCGAGAGCCCTTACGATCATTCTAAGACATCCGTCGAAACCTGCACAAGCTGTGGTAAGAGAAAGCATATAAAGGGAAGCCTTCGGCTCCAAAGAAATTCACGGGAATTTAATCGCGAATTCTCATGATCAGCGATATCGATCGATAGTTGAGGATCTTGAAGTTGCATTTTTCGAATGAAACGCGTTCCTCTCGCAAATTAAACGGCAAGCAGAGTTAAACCGGTTATACAAGACAGACCATTATTTGTACTTTTAACTTTTGCATTAGATGCAATAAAACTTGATCTTTATACATGACACAGCTTTGAATTAAATATTGAACTTTTAATTATGTAAATATTAATGAATTTAATTTTGTAAAAATCCTCTTTCTTTTATTTGTATATTTGTTTTATTTCGTTGCTTAATCACTAATTGCAAGATAAAAAAGTTTCTTTGCATCTGCTATATATTTTATAAAAATGATTATTTACGTTTGAATGACTATTGATAAAATGCATAAAAAATTGAAAGAAATAACTGAATTTTAGCATGATTATCTAAAACAGAAATAGATAGCAAATGAAAATAATTTAAATTTGATAATGTAAACATTTTAAATGTTTTCCTTTTCGTTTATGCATGGTTTCAAGACTGAATCGTAAACAGTTCTCCCGTGTGTATGCGTGTGTGTACGTATGAAATTTAACATTTTCGCATTACGTTAGTAATGAGTTAGACTAATGTGTACAAACTAATACGGTCTGCAAACTTTGCATCAATTTCATCGCAATGAAGCGTGACGTCGTTATGAGATTTCCCATGATAAATAGTGATGCGATCGAGCTAATCTACCCAGACGCAAATTACAGATGCAAGTAACGTCCCTTCAAATTATAACTCCAAATTACTCGTAGACATGCGAGCCGGCTAGGAGTATCGGCGCGCGACGCAAACGCGGAAGACTCGTAAAGGAAAATGAGACGAACTTTAATTAAGTGATTTTTTTTCTTTTTCATAATATATGTTCTCGTGCAACGCATACACTCGCACATGACCGTGATAAGGGATGCCCATCCGGTCGCGATGGCTTGGTGCGGTCGTGGGATTTTTTTCGGCGGTATAATACTTGCACCAAGAGAGCCCAGCGGTTCTCTCTTTTCCATTGTGGTTGTGAGGGCGCAATTAATTATATAGCATATCCGCAGACAGAGAGAGAGGGAGTACTCTGTTGTATCCTTGTTTGTAGACATGTGCTACGTATTGTATATGCTGCGTCTTTGTTAATATACATATTTTTCATCATTTTGACAATTGCCATTATTTTCAATTTATTTTTTATTATAAAAATTATTATAAAATAATATAAAAATTTTTTTATTATAATATTTTTATTATATTTTATTATAATTTTTATTATAATAATTTTATTTTTTATTATAAAAATTATTATAAAAATATTTATTATAAAAATGATACTTCACGTTTCTTTAATTTATCAGAAATAATAATCAATAAATTATTAGAAATAAGAATTATGTACCAAGAAAGATTCTGGATATTAAGAATTTTTCCGAAAAATATACAAAAAGCACTGAAACGAATGCTATTTTTGTTATACAAAAGCAATTAAATAATCGTCTTTTCCAGTAAATAACTTTCACATTGCGCTATATAAAGTTTAAATATTTGCCAGTTAGTTACGTTTTACTTGATGAAAATTACAATAATGTTCAGTAATGCATTAGACATTCCCTCATTCGCATTTCTTTCGAAAGTTAGCGTGTTCTAAGTGGAAATTCGCAGAATCAAGTGGTTTCTAAAGCTATTTTCACGTATGTAAAGGTGTGCGCGTTTAGGTGAGCGCTCTCGCGTATCCCCCGAACATTGTGTCGGTCGGATGTAGGTGTGCGTGCGTGAGCAGGTGAGTTAAAGGTGAAAGACGTGAAACGCGCACGCGGGAGAATCCCGAGGCGAAGCGAGAGAACGCGTTTTCTCGGATTTGTGTCTCGGCGAGGGAACAATCGCTCCGTCCGAGAAGGTAATTAAGAGAACACGACGGCGACGATTAAACGATTCCTCGCCGAATTGAGCGAGACGAATTAATTCCGCCGTCGATCGGGAATCGCAGATAAACGATTGAAACTGACACGCCGCCGAGATCGAAACCTATTTAGCGCTCGAGTGATAATTCTTCGCGAGATAATTGCTCGCGAATTCGATTCGACGCGATTTTTCTATTACATATTTCACGTACGCAACCACTCGTATCCAATTTGAAATATTTCCCACAATTATACGCCGAGCTCGTGAGGATAATTTGTGATTATAGGCATTAAATTTTCATAATATTCTGTAATACGCCTTCTCCATACTTTGCTGAAAGAGAGGTTTGTTATGGTGAATAGTTGAAGACAAAATTCGAAGAATCAGACAACGAAGTCAACATTGCTGTAAAAATATTAGCACGCGATCTTTTAGCCACTGACAATACCATCTGAAATTGGTGAATTACACGCGCTATTTTTTATAGCGTATATTCCGCGGAGAATAAAAAATAGGAAATAAATACAATGAAATATCTGCAAAAGGTTTCGTGCGAGAGTAACATATTTGTTACTTCGTTGAACATCGTGGCCTGTCGATTATACGGCACGGAATTCTGCAATTTTCCGTAATCGAGGCACGCACGTGAAAACGAGATCTCATTTGCGGTAAATATGGAAGGATGTTGGAGAGTATCGCGCGCGGCCGCTTAGAGAAGGCGGACGGACGTAGCCGAGGGCGCTGACTGGCAGAGGCCGAACGTCAAATTACGAAGCACCTGCTTTTCAAAACGACTTTATTTCACTCGTAACGTGTAGGCATTTCGATTCCGCGGCTCCTCTTCCCGGTAACATCCATAGTTGCCTCGTGAACCGCGATTATATCCGGGATTAATCTTTTAATGCGTTGGAATCTCTTCAGATGCGCCCAAGTCGACTTTCTAACAGCGAAAGATTGAGATAAGATACAAATAGAAATTTATACGTTAAAACGAGGCTAATAATTATTTATTAATGAAAGGTTTTTTATCTCGCTCTTTTTATCTCGAATTTATTTTTTAGCCAATTGTCAAGTATTTATTACTTGTCGCGATTTCTCAATTTTCCGCTTTATTCTTAATTATTGTTTCTATTTCTCGTGCAGATTTTATCTGCAAATTTTTTACTTGAATGAAAAATTATCCACGCTAGATGCAATCTTATCGCATGAAAGGGTAATTTAAATAGATGTGTTTTATATGTCAATCATTCACGTAATACATGTTTGATATTTTTCCCCTTCGAGTGATATGAACGGTAGTAAAAATAATGGGAATCCATTTTCGTTCGCCAAATACTAGTTGACTCTTGCAGAAACGTCCGGACAGAATCAATTTATATCTGACATGTTACTGCTGATTGGAAAACCGCAACGCGTGATTCTTGGCGCGCGGTATCATTACGTTTTTGCGTCACGTGTACCAAGCGTCACGCCTGAACTGATGCCAGGTACTCGAAATATTCGCGTTCTCCGATGCAGCCACGATGCACCGAGCGTGAACATAAATTTATCACTATTCTAACAAGCGCAATCTCGTGCTTAGGCGCGGTTAACGGTTAACGGCGAGCATTTTTGTCAAAACTACCGATTTTGTCGATATCGCGAGGATATGGTGTTTAATCGTGTATTAATTCCTCCGGCACGATTTGCTGTGGTCACTTACCTGCCAACCGGTTTATCTTCCGCTTGTCTTTCGTTGAAAAAAAGTATCGAGACATTGAATACCTAGTATTTTATTAGCGTGCAAAAGCAGAGGGGAACGCGCCGCGCTGCCGATCGATTCGCGACGCTTGATTCGTCGATTCGCGCGTCGATTGTCTTAACAGGATCGCAAAGTGTGGCGACAAAGGAGCAAATGAAACGTTGCCGAGGGAGAAATCGATTTAATCCGGAACCGGTCCGCGATACATCCGCCGGTTAAATAACGCTCTTGCCAAACGCTTACCCGATCTTTTGAATTCTTCTTGTACGAGCAAACTTAAAACCGAGCACCGTGAAACATTGTCTTGAAGAAACTTTCGAGTCACGACGAGACAGTGACAAAAAATTTCACAGTCTTTTTATCTCTTCTGTGATTCGCTCGTTTTATTTCTATTTTTTAGTACAAGAATACAACTTCTCCTATTATCCTTGTAGCGCCGACAAGGTTAAATTATAAATATTAGGTGCGTTCAACTGAAACATTAGCACTAAGATTGTCCCATCCTAAACATTAGGATTAGGACCAAGATTGCCCCATAAAAAGTCTCACTATATTTTCAGTTGAACGTATATTATGTACTACTTAAAAATCCTTTTCTCACGCAGAATAAACGCACATCGGTGAAATTGTCTATTTTATAAATTTATATATATTTTATAAATTTTATCGCGAAGCCTACACATCGAAAGAAACGTCCCTTAAATATAATCCGAAGGCACTGTGTTCTCGTTGATCGCCGCGAGTCTAAATTGCGGGGCGTCCAGGTTCTGCGGATTCAGGTGCAGGTTCGTCGTCGCCGTCGTCGTCGCCGCGGACGACACTGCCGTCGCCGGCATCTGTTGATTTACCGAGTTGGAGCTGAGATCGCTGTAGTAGGCACTGCTGGGAGCGCTGCTCAACGTCGGTCCGTCCGGTTCAGCGTCGCTTCCGGTATACGCTGTATTTTGATAGGAGGGATGCTCGCTGTTCCTGCTACCGATCCTCAATTCCTGGTGATGATGATGATGGTTGTGATGATGGTGATGATGATGATGGTGCTGGTGCTGACCCGGCGGCACCGGCGTCGACGGCCCGTTCTCGTACATCTCGTAGTCCGGCTCTTGTATCCTGGAAGTAGCCGATAACGAGGCTCTCAATAACCGGCCACTCGATCGGGAATGCGCCATTAACATATGCATCGACCGTATCGATAACTGCCGATTACGCGGCGACGTGTGTTGGATGCGCGCGTGGTTACAACGCGTAATTAGCTGCCCTTAGAAGGCGTTGCCAGAACAAAACATTGAACTCGTTATCGATCTAGGAAGTCGGGGAGACGATAGATTATCGTTGCGTATCATTATCGACGTGCGTAATCATTATTTCCGCGGCCGCACAAATTTGATAATTGACTCAGGAATTAATTAATAAACCGCGCATTTCTCATATCTTCTTCGACAGCAATTTGATTATTAAATTATTAATGTCTAAAGTAATATAAAATATTACGTCTCCGTCAAACAATATTTTTTATTTAGCTTTTAAGAAGAATAATTATCGTAAAACTGAGTCTTGTACTTGATTTACCTTTTACTGTGTCGAGTGCGAAGTGTATCAGTTTGTAGCGAGCCGTCGCTGCCTCCGTAATGACGATGTAATCTGGCAGCGTCCAGCTCGTGATATTCGTCGTCCTGGGCGCCGGAAGTCGTACCGTACGTTGAGCTTCCTCTCATTTGTAACTGTAGATCGCTTGCGTAGCTTGCGGCTTGCGAGTCCAGTTCCGCGTACAGAGCCTCGTCGGTCTGCATGTGGGTGTAATGATTCTCGACCGGGAGATTCATCGCTCGTCGATGCTGAGGGAGAGAGAGCGGGGTCGTGACGACACCCGGGGTACCGCCGCCTCGTCGAGAGCCCAACCATGACCACACGTTGTGCCCTAAAGTTTGATTACATCAACTTCTGACTTGGGCTAATTAGTACAATTCCCTTACATAAGTAGACGATATGCGAGTAATGGAAAAAGCTCTTTGAAGATAGATGAAAAGGATTTTAGAAGATTATTTCATTAAAGAAAGAGAATAATTAAAGGGTTTAAAAGATAAAAATCTAGGAAAAGAAATTAAAAAACAAGGCAGGTGACCACAAGCATTGATGTACGATGCAAATATAAAAAGATTAACTAGTATATTAAATAATAATCATAATATTCAAGAGAAAATAATGAAAATCGCATAAAAATTACATAAAAATAAGCGCTTAATTTAAAAAATATAAAATAAATAAATAAAAAGATTAATTAGCATATTAAATAATTTTATATTTGCATCGTACATCAATGCTTGAGGTTACCTACCTTGATTTTTTAATTTCCTTTCCTATTGTTTCATTAATTAATCGTGAATATTCATAAATTTCTATTTCAGCTGAAAGAGGTTTAATTAATCAATGTAACTATTAGAAGCGTATATCCTCCTTTCGTTTTCTTCTAATGACTTTTTCAAAGTTCTCCATGTGTTCCGCTTAACATTATCTTATCGCGGGATTGTACAATCGTTTCGTAACATCGTGAAAGATCTTGCAGAGCTATCGACTAGTTGAAAACGCCGCTAAGAACAAGTTGCGAGATCCGGTTCTGTAAGCGCTCGATTTTCCTCGGCGAGCGAAATGAGACGTACAGTCAGCGAGGGACGTGCTACCGCGTTCGCGATCACAACAACACGTTGTAATGTGTTAAGAACACGCGAGTAACGAGCCGGTCATTTCTCAGCGATCTCTTCTCGACGACGCGTAATACGCATACGCATAAGAAGCGAGCTAGTGGTCGGGACAAGCGAGCGTCTCACAGGATGTAACACTTACCGGGGCTGGGCGCTACGTCGTGGTAAGGCGGTAATTTGTCTAATTCGAGAGGTGGCCGATCAGGTATGACGGCCACCCCGCCGCCGGCACCACCCGACCCTGCGGGTCCGCCAACGTCGGGCACGTTTGAATCTTCTACGCCGACCCCGCAGCAGCTCGCTGGAACAAAAATGAAGAGGGGCTCTCACACGTGTTCGTTGCTCCGGAAAAATTCGTTGGCGCGTCGCGAAGCGAAAATCGACGCTCCGATTTCGTGAGCTCGCGTTTCTCTCAGAAGAGGCATCATGGTCCTACGGAATCCGCTCGAATCTACAAGGGAATAGGTATGTTTCTCGCGCAGAAGCATATGAAGTGCCAGGTGAGGTCGGCCCCGAATCCCGATACGTTATATGTATACGTATATATGTTATATACAGCTTTACGCGGATATAAATACTGCCCCTCCCCGTGTCTATAGACGGCGACCCGGATCAGCGCATTATGACATGCGTCCGTGTACGAAAAAAACTTCTGTATAGGCTTCATTGTGAGCCTGTCATCGCAGCGTCACACGAGCTCTCATAGAATTGCGCCGAGGGTTAAAGCATACCAACAAGGGTGAGGCGGGTGATGGAATATATAGGGGAGAGAGGAAGAAGAGGACGAGAGGCGGAGAGTGAAAGAGGAGCGGAATAAGATCTCGAAATTTGAACATCACAAGCACCGCCGCGATGATAAGTAGGCTCATAAGAAGAAAAAAAAATGAGATTATAAGAATTCTCGTGAGCCCTTTACTTATTCCATTCTCGCCACGAAGACGTCCTATGATACGCACGTACGCGTGTCTCCTTCGTCCTACCGGATTCGAAGAGCTCGTCTGTCCTGAAAAGCGTGTCACTGGTTTGCCGGGAAACTGAGAACTTGTTCTCGTTCAATCGCATTGCTCTTTCGTAGTGCTTTTTGACATTTTTATTCGACGCGAGATAAAATTATTAATTTATTTTATTTATACTTCTTCGAGGGAAAAGTTACGATTGCAACATACGTTATATTTATAAAAAAACAGTTTATTTTTTTATTTTCTTGCACATTTTTCTGGAATTGTCTGTTGGTGCATTTTATATAATTTTTCTTTTGAATGTTCAAAATTTAAGCAAATATCTCGTTTTCGAAATAAGAATATGTCAAATAAAATTCGTGTTTCATCAAAAGCTTTTGCAATCGGGAGATTATTAATATGTAATAAATTATTTTTATATTATCAATATGACATATAAACTTCGTTGACTAATAAAATATAAAAAATTATAAAATAATTTTATGCTCAATCTGCGGAAACATACTCAAACAATGATGCTTTGAATCTTTAGCTTTTGATTGCGATATACTTTTGCACGATTACGAAGTTTAAATTTGAGTAATCGGTTCCGTTTCTTTTTCCAAACCGTCGCGTCATGTCACCTGCGGTCGAATTATTAGAACAAATAGGCAGAACATTAATTAGACGACACGTGAAAACCGTGGCGTTAAGGAACATGTCGTGACGACGGGGGGCAAATGTTATGCTCTTTCATCATGATCAGATAACTTAAAGGCGGAGAATTCACTTCCTGCCTTCTAATCTTCTTATGCCACGCGTAAGATCTCACACGATAGAAATTTAATATAATTTATTATCTAGACTTTATTATCTGGAGTTTAAATCATAGATATATTTACAATTTTCTCATTATTTAAACACGATGAATATTAAACATATGTTAATCATGATCCCACTTATTACATTTATTTATTATTTTTTAACGTTTCTTTTAAATTTGAAATTTTTCTCTTCAAATACATTTTAACAAAGAGTAGTTTGCTTATTTAATTAATCATATTTAATTCGTGCATTATTTATCCAGTCTTATATTCAATAAGTTTGTTATAATTGACTTGATATAAAATTATTATTTATATGATAAGAAAAATGCATCTGATTGTGCAATGGATGTAAAAATATATATATAAAATGCATGTTCCTGCGAGCACATCATGGTTTCTTAACATATTATACATCAAGACTGATCCGAAATATCGTTCCGGTTGATGCACGATGAAGCATTTAGTAAATTCGATTCACCTCTTCTACTCGACTTCCCGGTCATTGTATTCGCAAGATCGCACAGCAATCTAACGTGTATAGTATGGACCTCCGTTCTTTTTTGCGCGAAAGTAGCCTTTTGAGCCGTCCTTCCATTAACACGCTGCTCGCCCTGTAGCACTTAAAGCAATCTTTACCCGCACGGGAGGATGTACTATATTAACGAATTTTCATTAATTTATTTTTTGTTCAGAGGGATATTCAATTACACGTAATTTTATAAAATATCAGCATAATGAATTTTATGTTTCATGAGCTCTGTTCAGGTAAATTTTCAATTAGGATCTCTATTGATTCAAAAATTACGAAGTTAATAAGCTTTATAGCATTAAAGTTACATGCGAAATGTGAGATATTGTCAAAATTTAAAATATTCTTGAAATATTCTTTCTTAAAATCTCGTAGAGATGTAGGATCGATGCGCCTTGACTCAGTGTTTATAATTTAATTGATTTATGGATTTTACTAAAAGTATATAAAATCTTTGAATAATCGAAGATTAATTGATTTTTATTATAAAATATATACAATATAAGTTTTTCGCATGTTGTACATTTTATAATAAAGATCAATTAATATTAATATTAAATTGCTAATTCTTATTAGCTAGAAATTTACAATAATATATAACAACATATATCTTATTTAAAAGAAGATTTTTTTTAATTCATCTTATTATTATTTTGCGTAAATAACGTAAGAAAGTAAATTTTGAAAAATCTTTTTTTAAATAATATATATATTGTATTATATATTATTTTAAATTTTACTGGTTAATAAGAATAAACGATTTATTTAAAAAATACAATAATACTTATCTCAAGATAAAAATCCACTGCATCGCTGAAAAAGTTCCCTCTTCTACGTATTATTATACGATTAACCATTACTATTGTTTCAAACGGTAGCAATAAATCATCATTTTAATGTAATTGTATCTTGATCGTTTTGTGTGCCTCTCTTAGCAGTTATCCGTTCTAAAACCGGATTAGAGCTTGCCCCTGAGGCGAGAACGACGAAATTGCGCGTTCTTGCCGGCCGCAAATACAAATTGCATCACGGACCACCTTGGACGATTACCTTGATGCAAGATGGAAATTAGCAATATTATCGTTAACGAAAGATCTTATGCTTATGGTTTATTTATGACTAATTTGCAAAATTTCTAAATTATCTTTTCACTTACATTCTTCACGTCGCAAACAATACTTTTACGATACAATAAATTACAATATTATAAATATAGTCATAATCTAGAAAATATTAATTAATTTTTTTAAGTTTGTTTTGTTCTCTATTTTTTTAATAAGTTTAACAAATACATTTGTAATATGCTTTATGCATATATATTTCATTTTAGTACCAAACTAGAGTGGTGTCTTTTTAATTAATGAGCGATAATCGTGTCATTTTCTCAAGACTTTAGACTAAAATCGTTAAGAATTTAAGTGAAAATTATACCGCAAGACCGGTGGGATTACGTGGGATCTAATTCAAGAGGTTCAATGAAACGAGTGTCGGATAATTAATTCGGGTGACCTCTGCATCCCATGCGGTAGCACCCTGGCAACTCCTTCCTTTCCGCTCCCTCATCGTTTTTTTTACGTCTCGCCGACTCGCCGCCGCTGTTCGCTCGTCGATCGTATCATGCCGCGGGTGATTTTAAATCAGAAAGTTAATTAGACGCGTTTCGCTGTCTTTCATGTCGCTCGACTGTATCCTGTTCGTCGCGTCGCGTCACCCAGCTATCCCTTAAACGCGATACGAGGACGAACAACACACGAATGCGCGGTTTATATCGCCGTGAGGGGCTTGCATTATGCGAACTAATTAAACTCCAATCGATGCTGACACTACGATGTTGCTCTCCTTCTCTTTCGCGCCGACATGCATGCCCACATTCGTGCATAGGGTTCCCGAGGCGCCAGAGAGGCCCGCTTTTCGTTCAAGTCTTTTTACCGTCTGGAACTTCAGACAATCGTCGAGACTCCGATGACATTGTAAGTCAACACCGGACGTGTACCAAGACGAGGAAGTTATCCTTTAATAGAAGAGACAGCAAGATCGTGTCTCACGTTCTCGAAAGATCACGTTTATCGATCTGATTGCTGCTATTTTTTTACGAGAACTATATCGTAGAAAGTAAATTAGTATATCCATTTTTAGTAAATTTTAGTAAATTAGTATATCCTTCATTAAAGATTCAGATGAGAGATTGTCTTATAATTTTTTATATCATTGCGCTGTTTTGCATAATACTGTAGTGAGAATATCGTAAGGACCTTGCGAAATATGATGTTATAATATATCATTATATAATATATTTATTTATTTATTTTAAGAATTAAAATAATGTCGCATATCGTTGAATCATTTTATTGTAACATAATTTTCTTAAAAATGATTCTCATCTTTGCTATATTTTTTTTACGATTTAAAATTTACGACATGACAAAGAGGAACGTTTCTGAAAGTACCTTTTGTGGGATCTGTCATAAAAGATATCTGAGAGGGCATTATTGTGAATGTCATATATTAATGTATAATGAAGAAACGAGCGAATAAAAGAGTTCCGCGAGCCGGTAACTCAGTAGGGGACTCGGATAATTGGGAATCGTTTCGAACCTGACCTGTCAGCATCGCCACGAACCCGCCGCGTCGAACACGCTATGTTAATTCGACATAATTGGAGGACTAGTTCACGTTCCGATAGTAAATCTAGATTTCTCTTCATTCTAATCCAGTCTAATCGTAATCCTATGCTAAATAATCTTTGTAAATCCGATTGACATAATAATTAAAAAATGCGATCTTACTTATAAAAGTATAAATTAACTATAACAATTTATAATTCATCATTTTCGTTAAAAGAATAAGCGAAAAATACAATATAACATTAATATACTTGGAAGAAATATCATGATGAAATTTAGCTTACCTCTGCCACCAGCACTCTTTATCCTGTAACAAATCAAAATATGCATATGTTACATAAGATAAATCGTTATCTGTTATTTTATATAAATATAATAGCTTCTTTCTCTTTTAAAAATTTATTGTTTAAAAATTATGAAAATTATACGAGTATAATGGTATAAGAATTAAACATAAATGACTACTAATAAATAATTAACTTAGAGACGTGTATCCTAAATAATCACCATTTTTTTGAAATTATAAGTGAAGAAACATGCAGAGAGAGATTGGCAATCAAGTTTAATAAATCATTTTTCACGAACATCCTTCAGAGAGGAGAATGAGAAAGATTGCGATCACAAAATTCTCGTTTCCTGTCTACCCAAGAATTCTAATTAAGATCCGACTGCAATCATAATTCTTTTGTAATAGTGCATATGAGTACCATTTCTTCGCTCTTCCACTCTTTCTACATTCCGTTAGCCTATCACCAGCCGGGTTTATATTGAATTGATCTAGTTAGCAACCGTTGCATTCTCGTTCTTAGCATCGATAGGCTCACTTGATTACGTATCACCGATAAGTGATAATTTAAGAAAGTCGACTAAACGGCTGCAAGATGAAACCGCAATCGGTCGGTGCGGTGATCCGTATCGAACTGCTTCACCGCTTCTTCGTGAAACGTTCGAAGAGAGCATGCTCGTGAAGATTGAAAAGGATAATATTTATATACGAGACTTTCAATTTGGCCCAATCATTAAGCCCGATTAATTTTATTATTAAAAGTTTGGAAAGAGAAATTTTTCGAATAAAATGGAAGAACATAGGCAATAGATAGCATATAAATAAATAAATTATCAAAGATCGAGTAAAAAATTATAATAATTTAATAAAATAAACCATAAGTGATATAAACATATTAAGTACGATATAAATAGTTCAGAATAATAATAAAAATGTACGATACGGACATTTCTGGCTCTTGTTTTGAGCCTTCTACAGCGCAATAATATAACATAAAAAGTTACAAATAATAATGTGGTGTAAGACTAATAAAACATGATTAATAAAGAAAAGAGTAATGACACTTATCATTACACTTATGGTTTATTTTATTAAATTATTATAATTTTTACTCGATCTTTGATAATTTATTTATTTATATGCTCTCTATTGCCTATGTTCTTCCATTTTATTGTTAAATTTAAGAGAGCTTTTTTCAATATTTGAGAAATTTTTCGGGAATCGATTCTCTGTGTTGTACAAAGCAATCTTCCATCGTTCTTTTTCTATCCCTTACTTTAATGAAAAGATATGTGAGCGCATTTATGAAATGGAATTTATTATATACTAACCTTCGACAATGAAGGAGAGTCATCATCACTACAGCCCCGATACCGGCTGATACTAAGGATACTATCACTAGAGTCAGAACCCATCCAAGTTCTCCAGGAGCTTCTGTAAAAAAATTAGAAATTGTTAGTATAAATAAATATAAATATAACAGAATTTAAAGATAAATACAATTATAAGTATATAAATTAAGGATATTTAAATCGAGAAATTAATAAAATATGTACAATTTCTTAAAAATCAGAATTTTGCTGGCGTCACACAAATTCATTATTAATTTTATAAATATACTTTATAAATATATAAATACAATTAATTTAAAATTAGATATAATTAAAATTAATTTAATCGAAAAAAAACCAAGGAAAAATTAACAAATCCAAAGGCTTTTTTAAGATTTTTAGATTCCCGTGTTTCAACGATAATGAATATAGATATCATATCATCTGTTTTCGCCGAAATTATGACATTTAAAGAACGACTTTGTTTTTTATAGCTCCATCTCATTATCGTAATTTCTTTAGGCGGGTTCTTTACCAAGTATATATATGAACAATACGAGCATCGCGTATAAATCGGCTCTCGAGATCTTCGCGCGGGCGTCCCCAGTAATTGGCTCGCAGTCTCATCCGGCGCGTTCCGTTTCCGCGCAGCGGGACACCCGCAGCTTTATTAGGCGTCCTTCGCTATTATTTCTGCCGCACACCTACCGAAAGCACCTCTTCGTCCTTTACCTATCTCACTTATACCATTGGAATGGTTTCATCGCGCTGCGGCAGCTATCTCGCGCACCGCTCTTAACGAGACCTCAGATAATCGTCCGTGCGAACGTAATTAAGAGAATCGCACCGCAGGTTTACGGCGAGGGAACGGCGACGAGCAAGCGTATGATGGAGCTAATGAAGGTACTAGTAGATTCTTTTGTCGGTAGATCAATCAGAAGATCGTTTCCCGAGTGTAATCGACCTTTCAATTGATTCATGGTCGACCGCTCATCATTTTCCGTGACCTATGCTTCAAGCTTCGAGTACTTGCGCCATTGCTGAATGATTCCTTGTCGGTTCTCTGCTCAGCTGTTTGCATCGCGAGCTGGTTTTCGCGCTCATTAGTCGGATTCGTCGTGTTATCGTCAAATATCTTAAGCTCGCACGGAATAATTCTGATCTGTTCTTATTCAAGGTCTTAATCGCGATGACTCTCCCCACGGACGGACGCGTGTTTAAACGTTAAAATGGAGATTAGCAGCGGGCGCTCTGGAGTTACGAACGAGAAAACGGGATAATTAGATCCCGCTGATCGCGAGATTATTCGCGAAAAAGACTCTTAATGCGCGTTTCAATTGCAACTACGTCCGCTCTTTGCTCGCAGCAGCAACATTAATCGCACGCAGTCTTCGAATTCCGTCCAAGCAGCGCTTTTATTTGAGAACCTTCCTAAGTACGCTCGTTCGGAGAGGTAGATTCATTACTCCCTTGTCACGCGGTGCTCTTCATGCCGTCGGTTTACCTACGCATACGTGGGTTTATATGTACTTCAAGTTGTCGACACCGCAATCGCTCAGAGTCTGGTCAGAGAGCTTGGAAAAGGGACATCAAAGGGAAAGGAAGTTGTTCAAGGGTGAAGAAGCCGCCCGTGATCGAGAACTGGTACTCGACTCTGCATACGAATGCACCGTTAATGTTGCTTCTTCATCATTGTAAGGCAATCCAGGTAGCGATACAGGGCTTGACAGCGACTTTTCGACGCTTCAAACTACTAATTTTTTGTTTTTATATAACTAAATACAACTAGAAAGTATTAAAAAAAGGGGATCCGTCCCCTACTTTTACATAATTCATATTTTTTTGAAGAAGATATCCCTAAATGAAAATTTATTTTGCCAAATTATATCCCAGCAAAAAAAAAATAAAATATTAGCTTCAAAAATAAACAAACAACTAATATCTTGAAACTAATTATTTTCAAAGATCTCCAATAAAAATCGTAAGCAAATGGTTAAAGGAGACATTCCCTGTTTAATGCATAATTTCAAAAAATTAAAGGTATTTCTAAATTCCTTCTTATAAATAAAAAGTTGAAAGGAAATCGCAGTGAGAATAGGGAAAGGGAAAAAACTGTTCATGTTAACATGTCGACATATAGCTTTAAATTAAAGACAACAAGTTGTATGGATATAACCGAAAAGCGAAAGAGAGAAAAGAGAGAGAGAGAGAAGACAAGACGCCCGTCTATCAGCGTCACGTTCCTGACGTGAACACAACAGCGTGCACGTTGCAGTTGATAACGCTTACAAGAGAGTTATCAATCATCTCGCGCTGAGATTGACCACCTAGACCAATGCGTGTTAATGTCGGTCAGCGTGCGCGAGTACCCTGTTACAGTTATCTCGGTAAATTGTTTTGATCTTTGCACAACAAGCCAAGCTAGTTAGGTAGTCTCTTCAACCTGCATGTCGGAGTTAATAACCTTTTGCAAGACTTCTCTGTCTCATTAGCAACTAAAATTTAGTTACTACTAGAAGCTATATTTAATTAAATATATTACATGCCACATTCTTATTCATCTAATCTATTATATTTTATTAAATATATTTTTTTATAGAAAAAAATAATTTTAGAAAATAATTGTATAAATAATGTGCGAAATTTTTAATAGCTTTAAAAATTGCTAAGAGATTATGTAAATCTCGAACGATTTCTATAAATAATTTATCACCTTGTTACTTTGTTAAAATGTATCTAATTTCAGAACATTTTGTTTGTCTAATCAGATACACATTAAATACGAATGTACAGGTGTAATCGCGCTTATCCAGAATTATGATTGTATAAGACGTGATTCAGATTTTACTTTCTTTGAAGAAAGCACGATAAATCATTGTTTCCATGATCGATTAATTGTTTTAGTTGACCACAATGTCTACTTCATTTCTCACCATATATTATCTACGATCGCGATTCAATCTACAATGGCAATTTAGTACATGCCTTGTTTTATCATTTTACATTATTCATAGTTATATCAGTTAAAAGCTATACATGTATAATTATTTTTTGCAATATTTTTATAAAATATTGATTCTGTATGTACATCAAATTTATTCTTACGAAATATTAGTAAGTATTTTAGATTTGATTTCATAGTACAAATCCAATTTTATTGAAAAAAATAATATCAATGTTTAAAGATGAAAAAATGATAAAAAATTTAAATAAATTTTAATAATTTTAAAAATATTATACTTTGTAATGGATAATGAGAAATATAATTGAACACATTTTATTTTTATGATTAATAATTATTGCTTATGTTAATCCATTGTACTTTTGAAGTGAAAAGAATATGAATAGTGATAAATTTAGAATTATATTGTCATAAATGGTGTAATCTCATAACTTCATGTGCCAATACCTGTATTAAGTTGCTCGATTAATTTTAGAGAACTTCGTCATATAGATATTTATATAGATATAGTCATATAGATATTTTATATACATATATGGAATCTATAACTTTGTATACCTTTAAAAAAATAATCAGTAACTGGTAAAACTGTTTCAATATACCAATTATTTTTCTTAAGAATATTTAAACGAATTAATAACAAAAATGGTTAATGAATGTGTCACGATATTTTTCCTACAATAACGTAAAAGCTCATATGCGGAATCGACAAGCTTCGTCGGTAAATTAATTCTCCACCATTATGTATTCCATGACCATCCTCGCATATCGTTTTAAGGTCTCTCGAGATTTTGTTGAAATTACTTTTTCCTCCGTTGAATATTTTTCTAGACTACGTCAGTAGTGTGCCTACATCGTTACATTGATCACATCGTATGTAATACATATTCTCGTATGTATTCATCTCTCGCGCGAATTCTCTTTTTACTGGTCTCGCCAGTCGAGAGATCGTTGCGCGATCCATTTCGACAGGTGGTCCAGAGCCCGCCTCGTATTTCAGGATTCCGGACTCTAATTACGGGCTCGCGCGAATAACCGGACACTCCTTCTCTCTCGCTCTCCCTTTCCTCGCGACTCGGGCCGAGATCTAATTTTCGATCCATGGGGGGTCAATACGTGGGATGCCAGACCACTGCATGTTGCAATATTACTACACACTCGTTTTTACACGTGTTCGCTGCCACCGCCAAAGTTCGCGCGATCACGCGACAGTTTGTCCCTATGGTTCGACATAAATTACGCATGATCTTGTTTTACACGGTTTTTATGTCGATTTGGCAAAATTGGAGTATGGTTTGCGTCGCGATTATTAAAAATTTATTGCACGATTTATATGTGGGCATTCGTGTTTATTTAATCATCGCGGCTCATTACATCGCTTGATTTACTCGTTTTGTAGACGTTCTGGTTTCCAATTTATCGACGAAAGGATTCGGATACAGATCTGTGTAGGTGCACTTCCAATTTGGGATCTTGGTAAAAGAACTCATGTGTTTAATCAAGTAAGATGGCACTTTGTGCGATCATTATGCAAATAAGCAATTACTTGTTCGTAGGTATACGCACGAAGATTGCCGGTTTTAGGCGCTGTAGCTCGTTTAAGAGGCTCTCGATCGATGAGCCGAGCGTGTTCAATGACATGCATGAGTACGAGATATTTTACTCTAATTATATACCATGTTCCCGAGTTGTTATATCTCGTAAGAGTTGCGATCGCGATGAACACGTCGATGTGACAATGTATAAAATCCTGCATATATCAGTCTTCAGGTATATAAACGTATATAAAAGAGAATTAGCGTGACTTTTAAAATATAAACAATAAAATACTAATGAAAAATATCTAAAATATTTATTTAAAATTAGCATACATTAGTTTGATGAACTCAATGTTTTTAAAATATATCATAAAATTATTTTTTAGCAGAATCATACAAATCAACTAATGACTTTTTGGCTATTCGTTATAAAAAATATACATAAACGATTGTCTGCTTATCAATGCATTGGTCTAATAAAATTAAATATAATTTAATTATATGTATATCTGTTTAATACGAAGATAATTTAACTTATTCGTATAAAGTAGAAGAATACAAGGATTTTATTTATAGAATATATATAATGCTACAGAAAATTAC